AAAAAGTCTTTTTTTGTGTCTGATAACTATTCGCTGCCAACATCTGTGAACAAATGTAATCCTATAAAGTTGTTATATTAAGTGTGTAACTGTTCATATAGAGCGTTATTACATTTATTGCTAATGCAGTCATACGGCACACTGACTTCTGAGGAGATTTTAGATGCACTCATCATCAGAAAGGTTGCCGACCCCTGCTCTACATAAAGGAATAATATTTTTACCACCCATCACATGTTAACCCAGCGTTGTTTTTGTGTTTATTTGAGGTTGTTTTACGTCTCTGCTGACATTTTTGAGGTCATTGTTTTGTTTTGTGTCTCTTTCCCTTCTATTGGTGGTCATTTGAAACGCTCACCTCAACGTTCATCAGTGTCTTTGCTAACCCAGAGATGAGCGTCACAGCCCTGTAATGTCACCCACTGGCGTCCCGGATATTTTCAGGTAACCCTGTTTGGATTGTGAGCCAAAGCTTGGTCGTCGGTCTGCATCCACACACACAGATACATGCTCCTCAGGTATCCAAATATAATCCTAGAATTTCATCACTTTGGTGGTCTGTTAGCACAGTGACCTCACAGCACACATGTCTTGGGTCACATGAAGGCTCCAACAGCACAAGCACGGTTCAAGCAAAGCTAGCAGCCACAGCCGTTAGCATGGAAGTCTGACTCAGGTTTGGAGCCAGCTTCTAGTGGACATCAGAGGAACTGCAGGCTCACCATTCACTCCATGTTTCAGCGCTGAGTGTGAAGCAGCAGTCTGACGGGATGCTGATCAGGAGCAGATTTACTGGGATTCAGTGTTAAATAATTGTGCTGCCACACAGTCATGGAAACCTGCTGTCATCAGGAAAAGAGCAGAAGATGATGTTCGCTCTGTAAAAGCTCAGTTTGCTCTGCTATAGCTTTGCTTTGCTCTTTACTGCAGCAGTCATAATTACAGTTATTAAAGAATGGGTGGCACACACTCTGAACACACTTTTAACTGTGTGATAAGTGCTCTGAAACCAAGAAAACATCCCAATGAGGACCTGTGTGCACGCTGACAGAGATCCAAACCAGATCTGGTGTCCCGGCCTCCCAATTGTTTTTTTAACACGTTTACACTCAGATCTGAAGTTTCATCTGAGGAGAGCAGAAACAGCTAGAGCTGCTTTTCAAAGCAGAGCAGGCGCTTAGGAAAACTAATCGACACACAGCGCGGAGACAATAATGCAGTTAGCAGCATCTAATGAGGCCAGGAAGTCATTACCCAGCAGATGATGGATCTGCTGCTCTCTGATTGGGTTAGTGTCAGTCACAGCACCGAGCCATCTGATTGGTCCGGGCCCAGTCGGCGGTGGAGGACAGACGTCTTCCTGGATGTCTGCGTCTGAGTATCACGGCGATGTTCTCACCTTGGTCCTGACAGGTTCGAGTCTCTTTGTGGTTTTAGCTCGGTGGGGTTTTCTGGAGTCTTACTGGAGGTTCGAGTCACAGTCCCATCCACCCTGACCTCCATCCTACCTACCTCCTTCTACTACACGTGATCCAGGATACAAACTTTTAGCATAGTGAACGTGAGTCCTAATTCGGACTCGTGTTGCAAAGTGAAATTCTTCCAGTTTTAAGGAGTGAAGGATTAAATCTGGCTGAGGCTGGAGAGGTGGCGAGGACGCAAAAGAGCAGCTTCTCAGTCGTTTCCAAGCCTTCAGAATAAAGTAGAGTTAGTGAGGATACCTGCTCTTTGATATGAAAAGGAAATAAAGTGCAGAACACCTGAGTTACGTCTCTGCTTCCTCACCTGTGCACGCAGGCCTGATGATGTTTTCCAGAAAAATACCTGCACGTGTTAAACGGAGCGTCACAGTTTTATGTTTTACAGTCCGACTGCTCCCGGGTTTCATGTTTTCCTGCACACGGTTTTAGCAGCAAAGGCAGCTGCCTGGTCTCTGCTGTTCACAAATGAAGTGCAATCGTGGCGAGATGTGCTGTGCTGCTGTTTAACATCCTTCAGCCTGCTTCACTTTGTCACACAGCTTCTGTTTAACTGATTTATAATCAGCAGGTCTGAAACAGAAAAAAAAGAGGTTAATCAAAGTGAATGTGTGATTTCACGGGGGGGTAAGGACTTTTTCACACAGAGCAGGTAGGTTAGTCAGCACTACAGAAAAAAACAACACGTGATAAAGGTGTTTAAAAATATAGACTTTTTTCAACCACCACTAGAGGGCGCTGCTCCGTGAACATGAACAGAGGTTTTGTTCTCCTGTGTGTAAATACTTTTAGAGAAAACTTCAAAACAGACCAGTTTCGCTTTTTATGATTTTTTTAGGTCTTGTTATTGTTGTAACTTTAATATGTTTGTCAGAAACACGTCTAACCCTTCCTGTATAAATAAAGGTTACATAAAAAAATCTGACTGCTGTGTGTGTGTGTGTGTGTGTGTGTGTGTGTGTGTGTGTGTGTGTGTGTGTGTGTGTGTGTGTGTACAATAATCATTTCCTATACATGTCTGTTTTTGATAGATGGAAGAAAATGAGTGATGGAAGTCAGACTAAACAGTTCACAGGTGCTTCACCCTGCGTGACCAGCAGGTGGGGCTGCTGTGCCGCTGCTGCAGAGGAAAATGTGAGACAGCCAGTTCCTGCGCCCAGGAAGTATGTTTACTGAGAAACACAGAGAGTATGATGTGAAAAGCCCTGACTGAAGAAACATGGATGACTTTCTACCACAATTATGAAATAATATCCTCACAGGAAACAGATGCAAACATTAAAGAGAAATAAACTGCGCAGAACAAAACAAAGAGTAAACATCCTGGTAATAAAACTTCATTAAAACCTTGAGATAATGCTCATCAGACATGAGAGAAAAAAAGACTTTCATATTCTAGGGAAATAGAAACTGATACTGTGCTGGAGGGCCTTTTCTGGTCCACGGGTCGGTGTTTGGACCCCAGCAGACGAGCAGGAAGTCAGGAACAGTCTGATGTGTTTGACTGTGTCACATCCCCCTCTAGTGGCTGTTTTTTGGTCAATGCATCCACTTACAGAGCTAAAAGTAGAAACAATAGAAACACATTGAAACAGACGAGTTTGGAATACAGAAAACAGCAGAACTCCGAGTCCTCCGGCCTCCAGCTGTGAGACGGCGACAGCTGCTTTTCTATCAGTCTATCGATAGATCAATCAGTCTATTAATCGAGCCATCTCTCTAAAGTAAGGTTACAGTTGGCTGTAACGACCCTGAACAGAAATATCAAACTGGCCCCGTCTCAAACCAGGAACACACATCAAATATAGAAATGCAATAGGTTCCTCAGTTTTGTTGATGGACCACTTCCTGTGGGTGGTGGAGGCCACAAGTCCCGCCCCCAGGATCAAATGGGTCTCCAACACCTGGCTCCTGGGGTCACTCGGGGCTGACGGTGCAGAGGCCAGGCTTGTTTCACTTTTTGTGTCACCCCGTCTTCATTCATCACCCTCATGTTTCCTTTTTTCACTTCCTGTTTCCTCTCTTTCTTTCCTCCTCACCTATGCAGTCTCCACCCGTGTCTGTGTCCCTCCTTTCGGTCATGGGTACAGCTGTCCACCACTTTTCTGGGATTGCTGACCTCTCAGATCCTCGTCTGCCTCGCAGTCACCTACCGTCAGTGTCCCTCATGAACCCGGACAGATGATGTAGCTGTTGTTAATCTCTGTGTGGAAACTGCAGATTCACACAGACTACAAACACGTGAAGGAGAAAGAAAGAAAAAGCGAGGAACACGAACGAACAGATTATAAGCTGTGTTTGTTTCAGGAGCTAGTGTGAGACCGTGCTGGAAGTTTCCTGTGTGTAATAACAACTTATTGCTACCAGGCTAAGACCTATAACAGACCTATAACAGCTACGGGTGCTTTCTAAGGTTACATAGAGCCCCTGTAACATTTTACTTAGACATTACCCAGGCACTGATGAAACTCTGCCCCCTGCTGCTGAAAGTTTTAATTACAATTTGCGGGGTAATTACAAAAAGGGGCTTTAACAGCTGAGGCCAAGGGCAGGAAAATATGAAAGCCTGAACAATAACTGTGCATGACGACATCATAAAATGAAGAAGCACCTCAGATTTGTTTCCCGTTTGGCTTCTGTGAGTTTATTCTGTGGTCACATTCCTCCACGGAGTTATTTATTCGTTTCTCTGGAAGCAGGAGAAAAGGGGCCTCCTCCTCCTTTTCCTCCACAAAGTGCAACAGTCCGGCGGGTCCAGCAGCGAGCAGCCGAACGTGGAGGCTGAAGGGCGGCGTGCTGCGCGGAGCTGGTCGGTAACACAACAACACAACAAAGTGCTCCGCTCCGCCGCCGAGTTTCACGGTGTGTGTGTGTGTGACTTTCTCCCCATAGAGTTTCACTGAGTTTACATCCGGGTTTTTTCCCTAGGCAATGGGAGTCGCAGCACCGCCGTTCCTTAGGCAAAGTGAAATAAATTCGCCGCACCGACACAAAAAGTAGTCCGCTTCCCGAACACATCCCCCCCGCGCCTCGGCTCGCTCATCGGCCCGATTTAACGAACTTTAACGGCCATAAGGACCGACATCGACCGCTCCCCGGCGGATAAGCGAGCTCCCGCCGGAGCCGCGAGGAGTTTTTGTGCCCCTTCGTCCAGCTCCGCGGCGCAGGGATCTGTGATGTGCTGAGGCTGAGCTGAATGAGATTGAAGAAGAGTTCTTCTTGTTTTGTAGCTTCAGTTTCTCTCTTTTTACACAATTTCCACTAAAAGTCACCCCGAAACACGACAGCTGGGTCCAGCCCCGCGGGGAGGAGGCGGCCGGGCTGTGTGTGCGCCTCTGTTTCACCGCGGATCGGCTTCTTACACACATATATATTTAATTAATCCAGAGGAGGACTGCTGCTGAGTAAGTGCACATTGGGCTTTTTAATTTCATAACTTTAATTTTCCCTGCTGTCAAACTTTACGCGTCTCCTGCGGCCGCCCGTGGTCGATTGTCTGCGGCTGTTTGCGGGCAGGTGTGCGGGGCTGTCGGCCGGTGTGTGTCCGCTGTGTTCCCGTGTGTTTCTGTGTGTTTAGCTGCTCTGTTTCTTATTCTAGGAGTTGATATTCTGGAGGACAAGGGGCCGATGTAACTTGGACCCACCGACGCCTGCTCGCTGTCAGGGCTTTTTTTCTTGACTCTTGTAAAAAGATGGCGTCTTTCGGGACTGTTGGAGCCCGATTCGAGCCGTGCCCCCGGCCCCTGCCGCCCCTCGGCCGCCGTGTTTTTTTTTAATCTTTGATGGAAGTTGTTATCAGCGTGGCTGCTGGCTGCGTTAGCTCCGCGCGGCTAACAGGATGGTTAGCATTAGCGGCTACGGCTAACGTTATCCACTTGTTCTCAGCCTCAGACGGAGCAATGTCGGACGGTTTTTTTCACACCGAAACACCGAAAAACAGCCCGTAAACCGCGACGGTTCTCCCAAACAGGCGGCCGGGGGGCTCTCCGAGGGGGGACCGAGCGTCCACAGGGCCGCAGAGGCTTAATAACACGGTTATAAAACATTAATTTGTCTGCCCGAAACAAAAACCCACTTTTCAGTGTTTGAACTCCCGCAGCAGAAGAAGAAGAAGCACTTGGCGGCTTTCATCTTGAAACCCTCCATTTTAGCTTCATTTCTTCCCTTTTTGGGCCCTCTGCGGAGGCACGCGGGGCTGCTCGGGGAAGTTTATCCCGACAACTTGGCGTCCCACCCGGGGAGCAATTACTCCAATTAACCGGCGGCCTCCACAGCCCGCTAACAGCCGCCGAGCACCTCCGCTCAGGTGCTGCACGTATGGACGCTTCTCAGGTGGACCGGGACCCCCCACCCCAACACTACAGGTCCCAGTACTCAGGGCCCCCAGCTCGCGCTGCAGGCTGGAGCACAAAGTACTTTTACTCATCGCTTATGCTGTACTACTGTACCTCGGGGTGGGATAGAAGTACTCGAGTATTTTTGCTTTCTGTTGCTTTAAATCTGTCCTGCAGTAAATTTAGACGTGTACTAACTAAAAACACCAAACAGTAAGTCACAGTACTTTGTTTCAGGATGTAACAGTTACTTTTTTATTAATAAGTAATGCACTACTGCTGTAAGTAAGGGCTGTTTAAAGTACTCGGTTAATAGAAGTATTCAAGTGTTTCTGTTTTCACTCCGTGTGTACTAACGAAGCCTTTTTAACAATGTACTACAGTAAATCAGAGTACTTTGTTTCATATTCCAGACTGGTGAAGTACTACTTTATTCATTAGTTATGCAGCACTACAAAGTGCAGTTTAAAGTACTTTGAAAGTGAAAGTATACACACATTTTTATTTTCACTCTAGTAAAGTTCAGACGGAAGTACTGCAGTAATGAAGCTTTTTTTAAACAAAGTACTTCAGTAGGATCTAATTCAAAGTACTTTTTTAATAATTAGTAATACAGTAGTATAGTTTTGGACTTGGAAAACTGTTGTACTACACTTCAGAGGGACACACTGCAGTAATGAAACGTGTACAACACAGACCCTCGTCCTGTGGTACACGGTGCTCTTTAAAGTACTTTTTCATGTGTACTGCTATATCTAAGTGCAGTTTTAAAGTATGTAGATAGTAGAAATATTCAAATGTGTACTAATGAAGCTTTTTAACAATGTACTACAGTAAATCAGAATACTTTGTTTCACATTTCAGACTATAGTACAAAGTAGCTTTTATGAACTAGTAATAAAGTACTACTAAGTACAGTTTTTAAGTATTTTGATAGTTGAAGTACACAAAAATCCTTATTTACATTCTGAAGTAAATTTCAGAGGGAAGTACTGCAGTAATGAAGGTTTTTAAAAACAGTCAGAGTACTTTGTTTCAGGCTGCAGTATAAAGTTGTTTTTACCAGTAAGTATAAGTACTATTTCTGGGTACTTGGATAATAAAGGTTAATGATTACATTTTCTAGTACTTCAAATTTGTACTCCACAAGATTTAAAGAGTAAATGTACTGTACAAACCAAACTTTTTGAATAGAAAAGAGTAACTGGGAGTACTTATCGTGGGATCAGGCTGTAGTTTGTAGTACTAAAATACATTTGTTACAGTTTTTATCAAGTTTAAGGTATTTGTAAAATGGAACTGCAGTACTATTTACATTTCTGGTACCTTAAGCGTGTACTAAGTGGTGGATTCATGAGTAAACCAAAGTACTTGTCCCATGTTATAGACTGCAGTTTAAAGTACTTTGTAATGCAGTACTACAATGTATAAGTACATTTTTGAATGACCTGGACCATGGAGTACTTTGGTGTTTATTTGTCCTCTTGTGTACTTGTACTTAAACTATAAGATGGAAGTAAGTCTTTTTTACTAATTAGTACTACAGTACTACTACTTCTAACTAAGGTTTGAGGTACTGTACATGTACTGCTCTAGACTGCATTTCAAAGGGAAACTTTTTACTACTGAATACTGCAGTTTTAATAGTTGTATGTACTCATAAAGCAGATGTACCTGAGTATTAGTATTTTTTGTTACTCTGTTCTTGTATTCTACAAGAGTTTTGTTACTGCAGGTACTTACAAAATACACAGTACAAAAGTACTTTGAGTCCCTTTGTCTCAGGTTTCAGGCTGTGTTTAAAGTACTTTTAACAGAGTACTACTGAACTTAAATACGTGTTTGAGCTGCTCAGAAACTGGAAGTACTTCAGTTTTATTCTCTTAGTACTACTAAAGCTTTTCAGTGACGGTTGTATAATGCAGTACTTTCCCCTGTTTTTAGTTTTCAAGTACTTGAAAAGTAGATTCCTCGAATACTAATACTGTATAGAGATATTTTACTCCAGTAGGAAGTACATGCACCTGAATGTTTTAGACACAAATCAGAGTAATACTTTAAACTACAGCACAGAAAATCACAGTACTTCATGACTCAGGTGTTGAGTTTTGGACACGAAGTACTTTCTACTAAATTAGTAAGACGGCACTACTGCATCTTGTGTAGTATTGAAGTACTTGGAAAACAGGTCTAGTGGTTAAATCGTGTACTTTTAAAAACAACAAACCGGAGTACTGCGAGCCACTTACAGTACGCTCGATTCAGCAGTACTACATGTATTTAGTTTATATGTTTATGTACACGTCTGTCTGTGCTTTACAGTAATGACGTAGTATTTTTTTCTAGGTTAATAATAATATGTACTTCAAAATAGTTAAGTACTATAGTTATGGTACTTTTTCCCTCTGAATGAGTTTACGTGTAGTATGTACTAATGCAGTACTTCGTAGTATTAATGGAGTTGGTTAAACTTGAAGGAAAGTCAAAGTACTTTTTGTTTCACTGCATAGTTTTTGTGTAATTACAGTTTTTAAAGTACAACACAGGAAATCAAAGTACTACTAAGGAAAAGTACTTCACGCCACAGCCTGAAACTCAGTACACGAAGCTAAAATACTTTGTTTATTCTTTTAAAAGTACTTTTTACTGCACTAGTTTCAGCTTTCAGTCTTTCAACCATAAATCTGAGGATTTGAAAACAGGAAGTACTTGAATAGTTTTTCTCACATAGTAGTACTACTACAGCATCACTGCAGTTTTGAGGTACTTTACTACTTATTTTTCACTACTTGATACTATGTTTCAGATTAGGGCTGTGCCGATATAAGACATCGTCGTCCCGGTAACGATATAAATCACAAACATGTAACATTTTCTGTAAAGTCTGTGAATCTCGGGCAGCTCGACCTGCGTGAAGTGTTTCCAGCTGTGCGTCATGTAGCTGGAGTCGAGTGTTTAACCGATGCATGAAACGACACATTTTTAGACATAAGTTGTAACGGCGCCGTTTCCTTTGTGAGTATTTATTACACGGCGTGCTGCGGGGAGAAGCCTGCTCTAACGTCTGAGTCTAAGCTTTATTTTTTAGCACCTGGCGTCTTTTTTTGCTTCTCATCTGTAAACACTCTGCTCTTTCACGTGATTCAGTTTATTTTGAAGTCTCAACAGGATCTTGAGCTTTATTGTGAAAGGTTTATGTGGAACATAAACAAGCGGACACACGATGGTGTTACCATCAACAGGCGCCTGTGCGTCCGTAGTGTGGTGATATTAAATATAAGAGAAAGAGAGAACTTTAAGAATACAGCCACTACAATGACATCCAAACATGAACAAATATTACCGTAAACAGTTTATTTTGCGACACCACGAAACAAACAACAGCGTAAAATGAAACAACAGATGTTTTTATATCGTCGTCCGACACACATCGTTATATCGAACAGCCCTACTTCAGAGGATTATGTAGTACTAATTAAGCTTACAAAATACCCAACAATCACTCAAAGTACTTTGAGGTGCAAGCTGGAGCCTATAATACTTGTGTGTACTTACAGTGAAAGTACTTGTGCACTTCTTTCTTTTCTTTTTATTCTAATGAAACTTCAAAAATGTAAAAATGAAGCAGTCTTTGTGTTTTATGCACTTTATTTTGTAGCTTTTACAGTTTTTATGAGTACTTCGGTACTTCATTTGTCTGCAGGTTACGGGCTGGGGTGTGAAGTACTCGAGTATTTCCATTTCTTTGTACTCCTTGTGAAGTAGTCAGACTCGAACGTTGTCACACTCCTGAGTACTTTTTCCTGATGTGCTGCTCACGTTAACCCCAAACAGCATTCAGAGACATGATGCGGATGTTTTTCCTTAACTTCTTCCGTGGATTCGTCATAAATAATAGATCATCTCAGGACCCTGGGTGTATTTCTGGCGACACTTTGAAGGGCCCTGACCCTTATGTTAGTTCCTGTTTCTGGTGTTTTTAGTTTAAAGAATGTTTTTTGTCTCACTGATGCAAAGACATGTAAATGTTGGCATCCACACAGCAGGGGGCGCTGCAGGGGCAGGGATGAGCTAACAGGCTGGTGATGCAACACATTATTATGATGATGATCTCCTCTGAATGATTTTCTTTGTGTTTTTGAGAAAAATGTGTCGGTTTATTCTTTTGTTTCCTCTCCAGCAGAGAAACACGAGCGAGTACTGCACAGGGCTCGTTCTTAATGCTCCTCTTTGGTGTGTCACATGACCTCTGAATCACTGTGGGCAGTGTGACCTGATCAGGTTTGGCTCACATGTGAAAGTTTTATGGAGCAAAGAAAAACAAACCCAAACTGTCAAATAATAAAAAGAATCCTCTTAAAACGTGAACAGCAAACAAACTGAAAGCTTCAGAAAACATCAGCAGATGGTAGAAAGGTGAGGACGTACAAATCGAGTCCACAAACGTGTGTTTTATTTTGAAGGTGTGTGCCGCTGCACGCCTGCTGAGTTGTGCTGGCTCAGGACTGATCCCTGTTAGAATAAAGACGTCTTTCATTTAAAGTCTCCTGAACACACTGGGCCTGTAACGTGTGCGTTTGCTGTGTGTTGCAGGGCAGCACAGAGGGGTGGAGTCCGGTCCCACAGCCAGGTGGTGAGTGCTGTTATGCTGGAGTGTGAGGCTCATTAATGCTGATGTGAATGAAGTGTTTGATGTTTGGGCGCGATGAAGCTCGGAGCCTGTTTGTGTGTAATGAACAGCTTCAGGTGAGGTCACCTGCCCTGTAGTCATCCGTGTGTCTGTGCCTCGTTTCCTCTGCAGCACCACTTTAATGCTTCAGTTGGATGGTTTTCCTACTGGAGACAGTGTTCAGGTGAGAGCTCACACACACAGGTGTGGTAAGTGTAGCCCTGAAACACCAGCGTCTCACCTTTCTGTGTGTGTGCGCGCAGGCTGATCGATCGGCTGGCAGACTGACTGGATCCATGATGGAATTACAGACGTTACAGGAGGCCCTGAAGGTGGAGATCCAGATCCATCAGGTACGCTGTGGGCTCAGCTGTTTCCTGTCTTGGCCGCTCGCTCTTCTTTTTCAAAGTTCAGCGTCTGCATGAACGCACTGAGGCAGGACACTGAGTAACGCTGCATAACACAGCCTGCTCCCTTTACTACAAATACATGCGGATCGAATCAGGAGGCAACAGGTGGGGTTTTTACAGCAGCCTGAGGAATAATTCTACTGTGAGTTTAAGTAGTTTCACAGGAAAAACAATGTTTCCACGGTACATCGTTAGTTCATGTAAGCAGATTATGAAGTGGATTCATTGTTATTTAATATTCATTATGTTGATGTTCAGTCAGTCCTTTCTTTACCACCATAAATGTGACACCGTAACGTCGGAGCACAGTCGCACTTTTTGGGCGGAGTAAACCACTCTGAAAACTGCAGCACGCTTACAGTGTAGGTGCTAGAAATATTGTTTTTTCCACAAGATAAACAAGAAATAACACAATACTAATAATATACTAATATTACTGTAATAACTACCTGAAGTTACGCATCGCTTAAATTCATCTACAGTCTAATTATTTCTTTGTTTCCTGGGAAAACCTGACCTGTTACCTCCTAGTAGAGCTGGGCGATAGAACGATAACGATATGTATCGCGATATAACTTTTACTTGATAGAGAAATTAAGCTATCGCGATAGACCTCGCCGCTCTTGTCCTCTTAAAATAAAAAAAAAAATTAAAAAAAAAGGTCAGCCAATCCAAACTAAGTAGCGCAGAGCCGAACCAATCACAGCCGCAGCGTCACGTCACGTGACTTGTTACGTACAGCACAAGTGCCAAGCCGCACGTGTGTTTGTTTGGGAAGCAGGCAGTGGGTAATAATAATAATAATAATAATAATAATGGATTGGATTTATATAGCGCTTTACAATGCCACTATTCATTCACTCTCACATTCATACACTGGTGGAGGCAAGCTACGGTTGTAGCCACAGCTGCCCTGGGTAATGGAGCCAGTGCGTAATGGAGGAAATGAGTGTGCCGACTAGAAAAATCAACCGAGCGTGACCGAAGAGAAAACAGATGATGGTTCCAACGCCGGAGAGATTGTCGAACGGAAGAGCCAGAGAAGCTCCGTAGTGTGAAGGTATTTCGGCTATTTCAAGTCTGACAAAAAACAGAGTAGCGTGCACTGTAAATTGTGCCGAAAGCAAGTCTGGAAATACAATAAACTGGTGCATGCGTCACACTGTGCGCCACGTTATTGTTTCGGTGAAATGAATTTCTACAATACTGTTAATTCTACTCTCTGCAGTGTTTAAATGCTTACATATACACACAGTTACTGTCCCTCCACACATACGACTCGGTTCTGCTTCTATGCCCCAGCTTTGTTTACTTTTTCCCACCGAGGCTTCTAGACTTCTGATTGGCCAACATTTCTGCACGGTTAGGAATCTAGCGCCACCTGCTGCTTTGGCATGTTCATAGCAGCGTTTTCCTTCATTTCTGCCTTTATGTGTGGACGGGATTATTTTTAAAATGAAAACGGAAAATCTCCGTTTTCAAAAATACCCGTGTACGTGTGGACGTAGCCTCAGTCTCTGACTGGAAGCGCTAATTCGTCATTCGGCTTTTGTCAGACTGAAGTAACTGTTAAAACTGTTTGAAAAGCTCAGCTATACAACAAGGAGAGATTGAGAATTTCCTTTTAGTTCTCAGTTTATTTGATATTGACAAAAGTTAGTCAGTTTTGTCTGTTCTTCTGTAAAACAAACTAAGATTTATTTTTAGAATTAATATTTTGTTTCTAAGTGGAATTGACAATTTAGTCTGTTTCGTTTGTTCTGTTTTGAAACTTTTGTGTAGTTTGCAATATTTGCCTTTATTTATCTGAAAAAGTCTCATGTTCCTTAAGTACATCTACCCTGTTGAACTTATTATGGGAAATAAATATTTAAATCAAAACAAGCTGCTGATTATTTCACATTTTACTTGTGAGCAACGGCACATTTCAATCTTACAAATATAGTTATTTGGCTGATATCGTGATAGATATCGTTATCGCCTGAAATGAAAAAAACATATCGTGATGTGAAAAAATCTCATATCGCCCAGCTCTACCTCCTAGTGTAGCTGACATGTGGAGGTACATATAAGTGCATTATAATCCCAGTAAAATAAAGTGCAACTCTAGTAGGGGAGTAAGGGGTGAAGCCACATTCAGTCTGCAGACTGTGAGGCCTGCAGTGGGCTGTGTTTTAATGGAGCCTAAATCTGGTTTTCACCCTGAAAACGTGGATGTGTGCTGTACTAAACAAAGTGATGAACAAGCTGAAAATGTTCATAGTGTGATGGTAAAACAGGAAAAAAGAAATCAGGGTCAGGTGTGGTCTCTTTATCTGTTTTCATTTGTTTATTTAGTTTATATATGATCCTTATCAAAGGACGCGCGTCCGTCAGAGCGAGCGCTGCTCTGTTTCGGGTGCAGTTCCCTGTGATGACCAGCAGGTGTCAGCGTGATCTGTGTTTTCTCTCTTCTTTCTGCAGAAACTGGTTGCTCAGATGAAGCAGGACCCTCAGGTAAGGTCCAAGCTCTTATTTCTTATCAGCACCTCTGAAGCTTCAAACTTTTCAGACGTTTTTTTCATGGCATTTGTTTTTTGTTAGAACGCAGATCTGAAGAAGCAGCTCCACGAACTTCAAGCAAAGATCACAGCGCTCAGCGAGAAGCAGGTATTCAGCTTTGTGCTAACGAGCTCGTGTCCGTGGGCTCGTTTAAAGCGTGACCTTCTGTGATATTAGAGGCTGAGTTCACCGAGCTGTCGTTTCAAACAAAGAAACGTGAGCTCGGAGCGCTTCAGCTTCACAGCGGTAGGAGTGACACGCTCCGAGGCCAAAGCTCAGCGCAGTGGTACAGTCTCACCTCATGAGCTTACGTCATTCTGATATCAAACATTATTAATGAACGACACAGAACAGCCAGCAGTGGCAGAGACAGCGGTGCACGTTTGTGTCTTTGACTTGTTTTGCATCATTGTCACTGTGTGACTGGGTCGCTCTCTTTCATGAGCTTCGGTGGTCGTTCGTTTCTTCCTCGTGGCTGTTTGACTCTGTGTGTTTGGGGTCTTTCTCTATGGCTTTGTTTGGTGTCTGGCGTTCATAATAGTCCCTGTGATATATGGATCAGATGAGCGTGTTACGTCACGTCTGTAGTCTCTTTGTCTTCTGTTATTTTTGAACACTTTCATTGTGCCTCCTATTTTTATCTGCTCCCTGCGTGTTTCTCGCTGTGTTTGTTCTGCGTGTGAAACATTTTGTGCTCGCTGCTTCGACATCGTGCAGAATTAAAGAAGACGTTGTTGGATAAGAGTTTGTGCAGACTGAAGTGTGCTGAGATGATGTCGGAGTCGGGATTAGCTCAGATTATTGTGGGGAAACAGAAAGCCGTGCGCGTATTTGTGCAGGCGGGCATCTTGCGTAACCACAGATGACTAAAGTCGGTTTCAGAGAGTCGGCAGATTAGTCTCGCGCTGAGCTCGGCTCCCACCTGATGATAAACTGCCTCAGTGGGAATATGAGCCGGAGCGTGAGGGGTGGGCTCAGAGTAACAGTCTGAAGGAAGTTCAAAAGAAGAAATGTAGGTGATTTCCTGCTCCTGCTTCTTCTTCTTGTAATTAAACTGGCAGCCGTGCAGCTGCTCTCATGGCCTCTTTGATTCTGGGGAAAAGGAGCGAGATTTTTTTTATTGCACTTTTTCTTTCATTCAGATGTGCTGGGAAAAAGTGCATGACCCTTGACCTTTTTTTAGAGCGTGCGCCTCACCATCACGCGCTGACGTCATCACGCCTGAACCTCCCGAGTCGCAGGCCGAGAAAGACTGCGTTAAACAGGAAGTGTGTGTTTTTAGAATCGGACCTGTGAAAGCAGAAGTCCTGTGAGATTAAACGTCCCTGTGCGGCGGCGGCAGCAGTTGAAGTGCTGCACGTTATTGGCAGAAGGTCAAACAGTTCTCTGAAAGCAGCGCCGCCACTTTCCTCCTCCTCTGTGTTTCTCTGCTTTCTCTCTCGCGGCGTCCTCATTGTGTTTCACTCCATTAAGTTCCTGCTTCTGAGTCGACTGTTGCTAAGCAACAGATGGGCTTTATCCTCCGACTGAGAATTCAGTCGCCAGTGTGTGCGTGACCTCCTGAGCTCCACCCCTTTCTTCTTCTGCTTTTCATTCTTTTTGCTTCTTTCACTTATTTCTCTTTTGCCCCTCCCCCTCCTCCTCAGTCATGCAGAGATGCTTGGGTACTTATTTGTACTTATTTGTACTTATTTTCACAGTAACTTTTCTAAATTAAATGATGAATGAACAATCACCAGTTAAAAAACACACTTTTTATATGAGTCCGCCCCAAAGTAAAGTTTAAAAAGCTTTTTTCCTCTGAGAGTCGACCCTCTGCCTCCACACCCTTCATTATATCGTTTGTTCCATACTTTGTTTCAATAAAGCTTTTTTGAATGGAGAAGTGGCGCCTGCTGCGGGAATAATGTCCTGTGCTCTCGCCTGCAGAAAAAGGTGGTGGAGCAGCTGAGGAAGGAGCTGCTGGTGAAGCAGGAGCCGGAGGCCAAGCTGCAGCTGCAGGTCCAAACTCCTCCAGGAGGAGGAGACATCAAGCCGGCCAACCCACTGCAGAGCCAGCAGATAGCTGGAGCGCTGCAGCAGGTATGAAAGCCGCGGCGCCGTTTACAGGATGACTTAAAATCCGACTGTCTTTAAATGTGTCGTGGGTTAACTTCTCCCTCCACAGACGCTGACAGTGACGCCGGTCCTCACCACAAAGACGCTGGTGCTGAAAGCTGCCCCCGGCACCGTCCTGCCGCAGCGCCCGCCCACCGTCGCTATGGTAACCACAGCTATCACCAAACCCGACTCGCAGAACGCCCCCATCAACCTCCAGGTGGCCGGCAAGCTGACCAATCAGAGCTCGGAGCCCATGCGGCTGGTGTCCAAGAACGCCATGGTGGTAAGTGTGCTGTCGGTGCGATCTGTTCGAGCTCAGGAGACGCTTCAGACCGCCGCCCGCTGACCCGCCTGCGTGCGCTCTCACACGACTCTGTTTCTCTGAAAGCGCTCGAGCGGGCTGTGGCGGCAGCTTCTAGCATCTCCCTCTGGGGGTCAGTTCCCCTCACAGAGGCGCATGATTGCAAAAAGAACACGTCACGACACGACTGAGGGTTTTCCAGGTGGTTTTCCACCGCGGGAACATCTCTGTGCCCGTTCCTGGGCCTCCAGACACAACAAAGTACCACCTCTGGGCGTGGGTAGGTACTTCCTGGGCGGGCCTCGATGCTGATGGGGTAAACTGATCACAGCGAGGGCCATCTTTAAAAACATGTCAGGTGAAGAAGAGCAGAGCAAAGGGAAAAAAGCTTAAAAGTCAGAAACGCAGCGATCGAAATGACGAATCGTAACACAGCAGGTCGTTTTTAAATTGTTCTGCAGCCGTCGTTCTCTGAAACACTTCTGCAGCTTTGCCTTACCTTTAAACATACACTAGTTTTAGCAGCGTGGACAGGATGTAACAGCACGACCACCTGAGGTCTGCTAACCACCGTGATTAAAATACTGCACAGAAGACAGAAACGAGCGCAGCTGTCGAACAGCGCTGACGTGAACAGAGTTCAAACTTGGAGGTGAGGCTCGTGTTTCAGGTTTCAGAGCAGGGCAGGGTCCGGTTTGCTTCAAGTGTTGGCCTCTGCTTTGGATGCGGGAACTGACAGAGGTCACAGTGTTCTGCACACGGTTCAGTGTTCCATCTGAAGGACTCTGAACTTTTCCTCCCAGGAATCTTTTCAAGGAAAAGACTGGAGACAGCTCGCTGACACAAACACCTGGATGTTACAAAGTATCAATGTTCCTCTGGATGTAGCGACGTCGCTACATCCAGAGGAACATTGATACTTTGTTATAGTTTTTGAGAAACATTTAGCCAATAAGAGTAAATGTATGTTTACAGTACGGTGCTGGGATGGGGCATGACTCCATGAGCTCTAAAAAGTAGATCTGGGTTTGTACCAACCCCGAAGTTTATGAGCGTTTCACTGGCGAACAGCACCGGACCGATTTTGGTCCCTGGAGGGTTCCTCGTTCCTGCGGTGCAAAAGCAGCTGCTCTGTGCCAGTTCTCCATCCTGCTCCCTCGGCAGAGCCCACAGGTGTGTGATCTACCTGCTTTAAAGCCCGCGTGTTCTCAGAGTTACTTACTCCCACGCTCTGCTGTCAACGCTTGGCGACGCGTCCCGAACCGAGCGCAGCAGACGTGTCGGTCAGATGTCAGCAGCACAGATCCACAATCTGCTGTGGTTTTGTCTCAGGTGCAGGCCGCCGCCCAGCCAATCAAAGTTCCTCAGTTTGTCCCGCCTCCTAGACTGACGCCTCGACCCGCCTTTCAGCCACAGGTGCGTCACTGTGAGACCCGCCTCTGAACCCTAACCCCCTCAGATCAGTGTGTGTGGCCCACCCGACGTGGCGTGCTCACTCTCCAGCAGAGGGCGGGAGCGCGCCGAAGCAAACGCTCATGCCTTGCTCCGTGGCACTAAAACATTGTTTTCTGTGTGCTGCCTCTTACTCATCACTTCTCCTCTCGTTGTGCTTCTTTTAATTTCCGACTGACCTGTGAGCAGGTGTTTTTGGAGGTTTCCTGCCTGTGTACCAGTGTCTTTTACCTTTCTTTGGTCAGAGCTTGTTTCCTGCAGCTTCTTGGTATTTTTGTGTTTCTGGCTGTCGGTGTGTTTTAACCCTTCCACTGGAGGAACGTGGGCGGTGTTTGTGCTGAGTAACGCCACCGGGAGCTCGGGCTCAAACATCAGAGTTAGGCTTCAGAAGTCGTCCTACCAGGAGCAGCGTTTGTCTGTTAGCTCAGAACAAATACTCGAGTACTTCTGTATGAAGTTTGAAGGGTTGGGCTTATAAAACTATTAAATATTGTTAACAATATTACGTTTTGTTTTTTTCCCTCCACCAATCACGTTTGACCTTATTGGTGATTTTTTTATCTAATGTGTTTTTGCATTTTTAATAAGTCTAAACGATTCGTGTCCTTTCTGTCCTGCCAGCACATCGTTACATGTGTACAGTGTATCTTATACTGTTAGAGTTTAATGACAAAATGCTTTATAAAACATTAAAGCTTTGCAGTGCCTGTACCTCTGAAGCCCCGCCCCCTGTCTCACTCTGAAGGGCTCATCTCACCTTATTCCCTGCGAGTGAACTGTAGGAGTGGTTAAAGACTGGGACTTTGGAGGCGGGGCTTGTGTGGTAGCAGAGCTGGCACTGCTGTATGATGTGGTGTATCTGTCTTTTTTGATTTAATACATAAAAATAAATGAGCTAATGTTTGTAACATTCCTCTGCTTCAGCAGTAGCAGTAAAGGTAGGCTCAGTCAGGCTGAGGTAGAGCTCCACAGTGGCGTTACCTGGCAGTATCAGGTCATTTCTGTGCCGATTTGTGATTGGCTGTGTGTCGTTATCAGGTCCGGCCAAAGCTGACCACGCCCACCAATGTCCCTATTGCACCGGCCCCTCCCCCACCCATGATGGCGGCCCCCCAGTTGCTGCAGCGGCCCGTCATGTTGGCCACTAAGCTCTCGTCCTCGCTGTCGTCGTCGGCGCCCATCCACCAGGTCCGCATCGTCAACGGCCAGCCCTGCAGCAAGACCGGTGCCGCCCCGCTGACGGGCATCGTCATCACCACGCCAGTCTCCGCTGCACCCACCCGCCTCGCCAGCCCCGCCCAGGTGCCCCTGCCCACCCCCGTCCCCACTCAGACTCCGGTCCAGCCGATCCAGATCAGCAGCCTGACCACTGAGCCCAAGGTAAGGTCCTGCGTTAGTACTGCACTGTTTAGCACAGCAGGATCTGAAATATTTTAATCGTGGTCTTAGATTTTACTTTCAGAAACCTTTGGATAGTTTTGTAGTTCTGATGTTTAAACAATAAGGCGATGACCTTAAAGATTTAAAGGTGGCGCTCGTGTGCCGCTGCTCCTCCGACACGCTGTAAAGGGCTGTGTCCAGCGCTGAAAGGTTGGATATCAGTTTTAGTTCATTTACAGGTTAGGGTTATGTGCCAGTATAGCACCCCCCTGTGGTGATTCAGGTAACTACAGCACTGAAACGAACAGGCCTCTCAGACTTCAGCAGGGTCTGTTTTTGCCTCTAAAAGTACTGAAGTGGTTTATAAAGCTGGTGTCTGTATAGACGAGGAGAACCTCAGTAATGATCTGCTTTTACTCGTGGATCCGGTCCGCACGTTTAAATTCTGCTGCTGTGACGGTTAAATCTCTGCGCTGCTTTCCCGACAGCGGTGATCAGAGGAAACGTACCTGCTCTCCGGCTGGAGCATCGGGCAGCTGGACGCTCACAGCTTGTTTGGGTATCGTTAGTATGTTAGAATTGATGATTAGTCAGCGCTGCAGAGCTGCGTGCAGGGCGTCGTCTGCTCGTGTCTTACTGTCACACCCTCTGAAGGTCCCGTGTTTGCAGCTGATGGGTTCTTACTGGAGTTTGGACGCCTGTTCGACCCTCGGGTCTTTGAACGATGGCGCTGTGTCACATTGGTCCGTGTTATTGAAGGAGGCCGTGTGGAGGCCTCTGCTTCTTTCTTCAATGAAAAACAGAAAATAGAAATAATGAAAATATAAAGGAATGTTCTCTTCTGTGACTTAAGCTTGCCGTCTTCGTCTCGTCTTCTCTCAGCAGACTGTTAAACCGGGAGGAACAGAGCAGCACGCCGTCGTCAGCCTCCCGTCCTCCTCCTCAACCGCTCCTGTGTCTCCTCCTCCCAGGCCCCCCAAGAAAGAGGAGAACCCAGAGGTATGACCCACAGAGGGACACACAAGTCGTGTATTTTCTAGCACAAATCACTGAACCGTTTCTCTGTCGTCACACGTTTCACCTGCAAATTCTAGATATTAATATCTTTAAGTAAATGTTATTGTTATTAAAACATATTGTTAGTATATTGTAGTTCAAACGTACTCACACAGGCTGATGTTATGAAAGGAGATAAAGGCGCACGATGTTCCCAATGATCCAAAACCCCAGAAAAAGCTGTTTACCAAACGTTTATTTATGCAGCAGGCGCCTCAAGGTGTTTTATATTATTAGACCCTAAAATAACCCAGAGAAACCCAACAATCATATGACCCTATGAGCAGCTCTTTGGCGACAGTGGGAAGGAAAAACTCCCTTTTAACAGGAAGAAACCTCTGGCAGAACCAGGCCCAGGGAGGGGCGGGGCCATCTGTGGGTGGGGCTTCATTGCGTGCCTGGGTGGGGTTTGAGAGCGAGAAAAGAGGCATGAGAGGAGCTGCTTTACTGCATCGATATAAAATACTTTCATTCTGCATCTCATTTGAAAATGTATCATTTTAAAAAGATGGATTTATGTGTCAGGACGTTCTCCTGCAGATGTTTACGTTGATGCTTGGAGCACGTTTTGCTACCACACAACTTTTTTGTTGTACCAAACCTGCCAGCGTGATGATTCACCTGCTGTGTCTCCTTTAGAAACTGGCCTTCATGGTGTCCTTGGGCCTGGTAACACACGACCACCTGGAAGGTGAGCGATGCTTTCAGTCTTGGTGTCGTGAAGCTGCTGCGTGAGCAAACATCTGCAGGAAACGCTGATGTGTTTTTATTTGCAGAAATTCAGAGCAAAAGACAGGAGCGTAAGAGGAGAACGACGGCCAACCCGGTGTACAGCGGCGCCGTGTTTGAACCCGAGGTACGTCCCAGACTCCCGTTTACGTTTGTGAATTTAGAGTCAAGCAAAGTGCGATGACATGTTTACGAGTTTGGGTTGATTAAAGTAGTTTTCACCAGTATTTTGCCTGCTGAGCGACTTAACGACGTTTTTCTCTTTTGTTTCAGAGGAAAAAGAGTGCAGTGAGTTACCTGAACAGCCCTCTGCACCAGGGGACCAGGAAGAGAGGTCTGTATGAAAAACAGACCAAAGATGATGGAAATGACAGTAGAAACCAGTAGAGACTGAACGATGCATGACAATAGAATCAAGCAGAGCTACAGTAGAGACGATAATCAGCTGAGAGTCGTGGCAGAGCTGCAGAGAGGAGTGTGTGTGTGTGTGTGTGTGTGTGTGTGTGTGTGTGTGTGTGTGTGTGTGTGTGTGTGTGTGTGTGTGTGTGTGTGTGTGTGTGTGTGTGTGTGTGTGTGTGTGCTTCATTGAGTGGAAGAAGAGTAGAAACAGTAGATCAGTGTCTGATCTGATGCTCGGTGCTAATAACGTGCTGTGAAACTTTTCTCCTGCTTCTGCTTCCTGTCTTTGTCGCTTCAGTCGGGTTTCCGTCTAAAGCCGGATTCATGCTCACTCGTCCTCGAGGCTCTGAAGCTTCAAACGGGCTGAAACGCGCCCGCGTGTCACGTCATTTAGTGCCGATGATGTCAGGTTTCATTCGCAGACTAAACGCAGACATGTACCCTCTGAAACGATGCCGAGGTTGGTGATCAGAGCTGTGGAGCCTCCGATGAAGGAGGATGAATCCGGTTAGACCCTCTGTTTTCTCTGGGAAGAGCTGAAATGCATTCTGGGAATTGTAGGAACACCCTGACTCCCAGTTAACGCCCATGATGTTTGTTTGCTGGGAGCCACGCCGCCGGTAACACGACTAACGGTGTTTCTGATTCGATAACATCACACTTTCCGACAGTCGAGCTGCAGACGTCGTAACGCTAGACGCTAACCTCACGCGCAACTCGTGGTGTCAGATTTTAACACGCCCTGAAAGAGGCGGAGGAAGTCTGTGTCAGTGTCTGCACTGATGTCGGACTGTTCCTTCGCCCTCCAAACGCTGGCCTCGGGTTTCCACTTCGCTGCAGCCGCTCTCTTATTCATCTCTTGCTGTTTGTCTTTTAACTTCGGGTCTTTGTTAAGCCAGTAACGGGCTCGCAGGTCGGCCCGACTGAGCGCCCAACCCACGGCGTGCCTGTCGGGTCCATGCATCTCATACCCGTATTAAGCCGTTTTATGACTTTTAAGTGGCAACAGGCTGAGCCGCTCATGCCGAAGAGGCCCGGAAGTCGAAAGACAAAAAGGCGAGGTGGGAACGCGAGGTCGGCACCCGGGGTGTTGACTTCTGACACGAGTCCACGGGCAGCTTTGTACTAGAGCTTGGCGTCAGCTCGCTCGGAGCACTAACCCTGCTGTCTGTGCTTCTGACTCCTCCTCTTCCTCCTCTTCCTCTCTCACCCTGACTCATGCTAGCCAACGAAGACTCCCTTTCCAAGGTATGTCATACAGACTGTTTGTTTTTGTTTTCTCCCCCCTCTCCATCTTTCTTTTTTTCTTTGTTTTCCGTCTTTGTCGTCTGTCTCATTTCACCCAGGTCGTCCACCCAAATACAGCAGCGTCCCGGACCTGGTCAGCCTCACCCCGACCTCCCCCTCCAGCCCCGTCCATCCCCTCCCCCTGCCCAGCCCCAGCTCTGGGGATGTAAGTAACGATGGGGGAGACGGACAGCTCAGAGGGTTGGACGCCCCGTCACACACGGTCCTTTTGGCCCAGTAGCTCTGTCACCATTTGCACTCCTCCATTAGTTTGTCGTCTCCATGACACTCATCCGCACTCATCACTTGATTTTACTTTGACTCAGCCTTACAAAGTGAACAGAGTCCTGTAGCGTCATTGATAACTACTGCAGAGCACATTCTAACTCCCCTGTGTGGGCTCAGTCGATTAACACAACACACCATGTCATTAGAACAAGCCCAGACTGTAAACTAAACCAGATCACGGCGCCCCCGCCTTGCCTCTGCGCTGATGGTTGGTGGGGAAACTGATTGGTCCAATTCTTCCTCACAGGGAGACATCCATGAGGACTTCTGCACTGTGTGCAGACGCAGTGGCCAGTTGCTCATGTGCGACACGTGTTCTCGTGTTTATCACCTGGACTGCCTGGATCCACCCCTGAAAACCATTCCTAAAGGCATGTGGATCTGTCCAAAATGCCAAGATCAGGTAACCGCAGCAGACTGATCCTGAGTCAGGGGGAAGGGGGTACTGCAGTCCAGACTGTGCAATGTGCTTCCGGCGGGCCTTCTGCCACGCTGGCCTGAACTTTAGGACTGTTCGATCCTTTGTAAGCAGAAACGTGATGCAGTATTGTTCTTTTGTGCTTCTGTCTCATTCATTGTGTAAAGATCTGCATCTCACATCCATCCACCCCATTGCTCGTCCCCGTATCGGCCCCACCGCAGGGTGGTGGCTAAATTTGTCTCCCTGAACTCTTTTCCGAGCTTCCGCCTCTGTGAAAACTCCCAGCTTCTCTCTCCAGATCCTGAAGAAAGAAGAAGCCATTCCCTGGCCCGGCACCCTGGCTATCGTTCATTCCTACATCGCTTACAAAGAAGGTGACGGCAGCTTTTGCTCTTCTCGTGTGTCGCGTCTGCCGGGACCGGCGAGCTCTGACCGACTCTCCCGTCTTTGTCTTGCAGCTAAAGAAGAGGAGAAGCAGAAGCTGATGAAGTGGAGCTCAGAGCTGAAACTGGAGCGAGAGCAGCTGGAACAGAGAGTCAAGCAGCTCAGCAACTCCATAACAGTGAGCTCAGCGCACACGTTTATGCCTCGGTCCAGTCTCCAGTCCCTCGTTCATAATCTGTGCAGCGCTAAAGTTATCAAAAGTTTTGGCTGTGAGCTGGCTCAGCAGGGGGAAGACTGTCAGCTGCTGTGATGGCCATGTTTTTTGTGTTTGGATGTTGGATAAAGCACCGCGATGCTGCATTGTGAGAGAAAGTTTGTATAATTACCTGTCAGGTCCTGAGCGATCTGCCTCAGGGATGTGGAGTCGGGCTGGTAAGCGATGAAAAGAAGACAGGACAGCTCGTCGTGCTGTAACTGTATTGTTTTAGAGCTATTCTCCGGCTTCACGTTAAATTCCAGCATCAGCAGCGACGAGCGGGACTGTGTGCCGTAAACGAGCACAGCTCCAGGACAGACGCTCGTCCTCACGGCCGTCACAGTCACAGGGTTTTTACTGTTGTTGCAGTTAAATGCCTGCCGCCAACTTCAGCTTCTGTGAATTGTCACTGCTCTCTTTATTTGAGGAGATGAAACTAAAACCTGTTTTCATTTTTTCAGAAATGCATGGAGACCAAAAACACCATCCTGGCCCGCCAGAAGGAGATGCAGCTCTCCCTGGACAAAGTCAAACACCTGATTCGCCTCATCCAAGCCTTCAACTTCAACCAGGCTCTGGCAGAGACGGAGGGCAAAGACATGAGAGTCCCGGACAGGGCTGAGGCCGCGGTCAGCTCTGAAGCTCCGCCCAAAGTCAACTCGGCGGAGAAGGTGAAGGCGGGGAGCTCCTTGGCCAGCGTCATCACCGAAGGGAGCAAGCCCGAGGAGCACGGAGCCGCGGGGAGCCACCAGACGGGCGGAGACACCTCCGGCCAGCCCGACAGCACAGTCCTAACGGCAGATAGCGGCACCGGCGTGGGGGCGGACGGAAAGGCGGGGCCGGGGGGAGGGGCTAACACGGGGACTGGTCTCCAGGCGGAGATCGTAGCCAAGCCTGAGACTGAGGTAGCCGCGGCAACTAATGTTCCCGCTTCTTCGGCCGTTGCCACCACCAACGGCACAGTCGAGCTAGCCCGTCCCGATCAGAGCCCCGGCGGAGGCCACGGCGCCAACGCCGCCACCGGCTCTGAAAACAAGACAGCTGCCGTCAACCCCCCAGAGACGCCGGCAGAGAAGAAACAGGAGGAGATCACCGGAAGCGATGGCAGCAACACCAACAACAGCAAAACCTCAGAACCCTCCCAGCATTCTTTGCCAGCTCTCGTCAGCAGTTTGGACAATAAAAAGTAACGCGGCGTCTCTTCAGTCGGGGAATTCAAACATATATATTAAAAAAAAAGACTCTTGCTTGCACCGTGTGGTGCCCTGAAGTTGCCAATCTGTATAAATGTTGTTTGTTTGCATTGTATTGTCAGACTGTGTCAATGGTAGATATACAGCCCAAGTCACGTGACTCTGGGAAGACGTAGGCCGTTCCACCCACTGAGCTGGGGTACAGGAAGGCGTGCGCACCAGTGTCATCATGCCAATTAGTGATAGACGTCATGGTGGGAATGCTCAAAGGGAGATTTAACTCATCATCACACCAGTGTGTGCCTGTTACAGTGGCCCCTGTTCCCTGCGAGGTGGGGAGACGGTTCACATGGGCACGAAGAACGCCGAGAACGTGGAGCCAAACATCTGTCAGGGGTTACTGGTCTAAAGCAGTGTTGTGATAAATGAACCTGTTCGTGCCCTCGTCCCAACGAACTTAATGTGAACGACCATGAACCTTAACCATCCGTCCCGACCTTCCCGATCGTCCGATCCTCGCCCGGCCGGCCTCCGGATCTCTTCGGTGGAGAGAAACCCGTGCGTCCCTTCACCCCTTCACTGTGAAAAGGCTTCAGTTTGCTTCAAACACAGAGTGGTGCCAACCACAGGCGCTGCAGATGCAAACAGTCCTAGAAATCTGGATCACGTCGCATCTGGGTGTTTTTGATTGGAAGTCAAACGTAGTGGTCTGTGAATTACGGTGAACTTTGCAGAGAAAATGATGCGTTAGCCAACACCGCTCACGCTGAGCGGCCTAACTTACCTTAACCCAGGTACCCGACAGCTGGGTACAAACAACTGTTGAAGGGAGCGAAAGATAAAAGGCTGAAAATGGGATTTTCAGTCCGTCCTGATTACCGCTAACAGCTCTGAAAATCATACCTTAGACTGATAACCTTCGATATCAGCCAGAGACCTCCTCAGACATCGTCTTTTTAAAGACGGCGGTTGGCGCTTTGAAGCACGCGGCTGCCTTGAAGGTGACGGGTCTGACTTTCCAGATGAGACTGATTGGCAGCATGTTGGCTCATCAAACCACACGTGCACCTGGTGGTGTAAACCCGGGCTCACCTGCCCAGGTCCGAGAACAATACACAACATTATTGCAGAAACCTTAAAGGCCTCGGCATCGTCGCTCTTTTGAAGCACACTGACGCCTTTGGAAAGACTTCCCGAGCGATCCATAATCCCTACATTATTCCCACTCGCAGTCACCCGGTAACCAAACGGCCCATCCTCTCCCCATCTCCTCCCACCTGAGCTCAGGCAGCAAAGACGCCGAGCGGCGCGTTCGACAGGTACAAAGGACGAGGTCGAACAGGCTCGGTAGCCGAACAGATGTTTTCAGTGGTGTCGGTCAAGTGTAGTGATTGAGTTTTCATTCGTGAGTCAAGTGTGTCAACTGTGAGCACTAAATGTGAAATTGCAATACTGCAATGTCAACACACACAAACTATATCTGGGCTGTGTTTCTTTTTTATAGGAAAAGATATTCAGGTCTTCCTAGTCTTCTTCAGAATAAGTGCTTTCTGTTCCTGAACCTGCTGGACTGGCATTATCCACACACAAAGGAGTCCTCTTTTTGAAGCGGTCGTCTTTGCATCGTGTGCGTTTCTGTTGAATCCTGAACTGCCAAAACGACATACCCAAATTCAGCAGGGACAAGTCCACTTACTGTATTGAAAGATCAAATCACCGGCGTTGTAAGATATTTAGATGCTACCATTTCAGAAATTGGAAGTCCCCAGATTGAGACAGGAGAGCTTACTAAACAATAACATTAAAGGAACTTTTTTCCTTCAAACGGTTTGTCGTACGAAGCTGCTCCTTCCGACGGATCTCAAAGGACGATAATCCTGAGATTAAAGCACAAGCTTGCTGCATTACAAAGAAGTGCTGAAGAGCTTTTTGTATGTTAATATGGAATTAAACAGAGTATGCATCTCTTTGTTGTGATGTGACTTATCCCCCACATTGCCAATATTTTTCTCGGAGGACACACAAACCTCTGTCTGACGTGCGTAGTTCCTGTTTTTGGGAGGAGCGGCCCGAGAAGCGCCTTCGTCCCCTCGCGGTCAGACACGTGCGTCTCTTTTCTTTCGGTGTGGCCGAAGCACGACGCTGTCATTTGTGGCTGTCGGTTCAGGTGGGTCTGCTGAGCCGATCACTGTTGGGAGCGAGGCAACGACGGCGCCTCTGGTTGTGCTGGAATTTCTGTCGCTTTCTTTCTTCGAGCTGTTTTGGAGCATCGTTGCCCAGGTTTCAGTCGCCCGGCGGCGTCTTCACCCCTGAGTGCCGACGCCGTTTGTTTTCTGTGATCGTGCACGTTCGCTGGGACTAGAGCTCTGCTGTGTGAGTGGCTGTGATACCCTGTAGGTGTGGGGTAGGCCCAGCAGCAGAGGAGGACGAGGAACACGTGAAGGTGGCCGCGTGTTTCAGCCTGTGTTGCTTACTGATGAAACATCAGTAGTTGGACTTTCCTGCTAACACCTGTACGGTCTCTGGAGTGCTGATAGAAGGCGTTTAGCGACGTGCACGTGGCGCTGACCGCAGAGGTGAACACGCTGCAGGGCGACTGCGGGTGACCGTTAACTTCATATCACTACGACCAAGTCGGCATATCTGACACCCGGTGTTCTCGTATACAGACTGCCTTCATTCAGAAGATCCCACAGAAACGTTTCCATGCGTTCGGCCGCCGTGTCGCGTTTTATGCCGTCGGTCTGACGAGCTCGGCCATTCGAACACAGATGGGAAAGAAGAGCCAGAAAAAAGAAAAGAAAAAAGGCAACTAAGGTGTCCCCGGGTCCCTCTGAGTATCATTCGTTGTGTGTTTCGTTGTTCGTCGGCTGTGTTCACTCATGGGTAGAGCAGAGTAGTCATCGAGTCTCAACAAGGTTTTCTTTCAAAGAGCCCGAACTTGTGTTCCAGTCAGACTGGACCTCTCCCTCTGTACAGTAGGTACCTCGAGTGCCTTTCTTCAAACAGCAGATAATATTTGTCTCTTGACTTGCACTGTGACTTGTAGAACCTTACTAACCCCTCCGTATGACCCTCCGGTCCCCCATCCCAGGAGCTCCCCCCAAACTCCGGAGCACAAACTCGGTCCCTCCACCTCAGGCTGCCAGTAGTCAATGCAAGTTAAATCTACATTTCATATATGATGCCGTTTGAAATCGACCACATAGTGTTTTGTTGATGTTTAATAGAGGAGTTGCCTTAAATGTGTTTTGTTTTCGTTTTTTTCTGTGATTAACTTTTCCATTCGGAGAAAAAAAAACACCTGTGCAGACGCGAAGGTCAGAGGTCGTCTGGTGAGAAGCAGTCGGGGTTTTCCCGGCGATGATGATGATGACCCGCTCAGAGCTGTGTTGTGATGCACTTTTTGATTTGACCAGTATTATCGGACCGGGATCGGTCAGCAACGCAGAGCGCAGGTGTGAATCCCGGTTCCCCGGATTTCCTGGCTGGACTCGCGTTCGTTTTATTTTGAAAGGTCCATCGTTGCTTCTGCACTGTTCTGGTTCTACTTTGGCTTCAGATAACGCCCGAGTTTGCTAAATCAGGTCACATGAGGCGTCTGGCATGATCAAACTTTGACCCGATTAAGAGCATATGTCAGTGCAGCGGCGGCAGCGGAGTGCATGACTTTTTATGCAAACTTTGATAATAGACGTGTCGAAACGTTTTTTTTGATATGCATCTGCTTTTATTTTTATGTTTTCATGTGAAACTCGAGTCACTTTCTTTTCTTTGGGCGTTCTGGCAGACACGGATGCCAGAGCGCGCCGTTTAGGTGTTAAACGTTGCAGCGACCATCTGCGTTCAAAGGGTTTCTTCAGAATCAGAAGGTTTTTCCATGGATGTATGAAGAAGAACTGGACACCTGTTCTCCACTGACACGCTGCCGTTTGTGGGGCGGTCCTACCGCAGAACGCTTACCGGTGATTGGTAGAAGTAGCCTGTGGATTTGGAGTAACGTCACCCCAAGTTCAACCAGCGCTTGGTTCAAACATGAACGCAGTCGACGGATTGTGCCCGCCGCTAGTTTCTTTCTGGGAAGTTACCCAACTTTGACCTCATCAGCACCTTGTCAGTGGAACGCAGGAGGAAGATCATCGAAAAAGTAGCCCTAGCTTTGTCCGGCTCCTGGGTTAACAGAGAGAAATCGCTGCTGTGATTGGTTCTGCTTTGTTCAATGACTGTTTGATTCATGGCTTGGCTGAGGTTTAGGTGATGCCGGGCTACAGAGCAGGAGCTCTGTGGGGGAAAGGAGGCATGCGTTAGGCCTGAGTGTCTGCCCTGCATCAGCTCTCTGGATACATCCATGGGTTTAGGTTCTTCGTTGTAGTCTTGATTTGGCTGATGCGGCGTGCCGACTGTTGGGATCCCAGCAGAGCTGCGAAGGTTCGGGGAGGAAGGCTCTCTAAATTGCTTCTCAGTTTCGATTTCGCCGAGCCGTCCGGGTGAACTTATCCAAAGAACACTGAGAGCATACATTTCGTCTCTGCATATCATACGGATGTCGTTTTCCTGCGTTGGCATCGTGCTCGTGGTCACATTAACCGCTCATGCATTCTAAAAAAACAAAAGACTGTGCTGGGGGGTCGTTCCTGCGAGGTAGTTTGCTCCGACTTTTAAGTTGTATCAGTTTTAAAACGATCAAGTCATGATTGTGGCCTTCTAGTATTCTGTCGGTACATGACGTCATTAATCTCTCGTGCCCGCCCGCCCATCTGTCTGGACCCAAACGTACACCTGCAGCTTCTTACCTCATCCACAGCTGATTCCATCGGGGTGTGTTTGAGTGCAAAAAAGAAAAGTTCAAAAAAAGAAAAAACAAAAGTCTTTTTTTATCTTCCATTTGGTGAGATGCATTGTAGCGATATGAATAAAGAAAAAGTTCACCTGGTGTGCTGAATAATGTGTAAATTGGTAATTACACAATCTGAATATTTGTATAATTGTTTGTATTTTTTCATAATGATTTTGGAAAGGAATGTGTTTATTTTTTTGACTTCTGTTCCAGATGTGTCTTCTGTTGGCCTGACATTGTGACTGGTCTGGTGGGATTCTTACCTCTGTATTGAGCCTCTTCTGTGATGAATTCTTTGTATGCAGTGTTTAGGAAATACTGTAGGGAACATGGGGAGGAGTTGATATTAGGAGCATTTGATCAATTTGTATTTATTTATTTTATCATTTTGTTAATAAATTGTGAAAAGCAGACCGTGTGGTGCCTGCCTGTTTATTTTGGTTTTAAGAAAGAAGCCACTTTCATTAAGAACAAATGTTTGTATAGTCCCTAACAATAAAACCGCCGGCCCCTGTATTACAAATGAGAATATTTTTCCTTTTTTTAAATCGTTTTTGCCTTTTAATTTGATTCGTTTCGTAGCTTTTGAATTATGTATATTAGATTTTCGTATGTTTTCTTCCAGATATTTGCGGAGTGGTGAGATGAAATGAAGAGAAGGCGTACAGCCTTTATTTCTCCTGTCTCTGTGAAAAATGTCAAAGTAAATTAGCCGATGTGGAGCTGCTGTCTGAGACTCAAACACAGACGCTGTGGATGTGAGAAAAGATAAAAATGTTTTGCTTTTTCTCGTTTCTAATCGGGAGCCTGCTCGGGTATTCTCGCTGGAGATCGGACACAAAGGAAGGTGCTCGTCACACACACTGTAAAAACACGAGAGTTCAGCTCTGACTGAATCCCGAGTCCGCTTTTAAACAACGACGATGACTTCCTGTGGTTAGTCGTCCCGCGGCTCCGTGCTCGTGTGCTTCCCGGACTGAAGCGTGTGGCGAACTGGCCAAACCCTAAAAACTAAACTCCCGCATCTGAAACCCGCCAAAGAAGAGAAGCACCAATCAGATACGAGCGTCGTGGTGTGTGATCTTTATATACAGACCCGCGAGGCCTCTCCCACGAGCAGCAGAGTGGCGCAGCGGAAGCGTGCTGGGCCCATAACCCAGAGGTCGATGGATCGAAACCATCCTCTGCTATGGATTTGCTTTTTTTTCACTGAGCTCCGCAGACATTTACCCCGAGCCTCGTGGACGCGGCGGAACAAACTGCTGAAAACACGATCGAACTTTTTCCATATCAGGCTGAACAAACCGGCAAATGTTCGCCCGAATGTGTAACTGCACTAAAAGATTAGACGTGGCGCCCCCTGTCGGAGGTGGGGGGTTAATGCCGCTGGAGGTGTTGAAGACCTGAGGAGCCAACCCGCCTGACCGGGGCATCAAAACACCAACAAGCCTCCATCCATCAGACGCTTAGAGAAGCTCAGGAGGAGCTGCTCTGTGTCTCTGTGGATCCAGAGAAAGCATAAGAAAGGACAGCTGGAAGGTGGAGGTCAACCATCCACAGGCAGGTGAAGAAGGGAGTGCAGGCAGGGTGGAGACCAGTGTCAGCCATGAATGGTTTGCAGACGGTGGAGGTCAGCATGTGCAGGGGGAGACTGGATTTATTAGACAAAGGATGATGAAGATGGAGAAGAGGAGGGCCTCGGAGGAGGCTCATGGATGTGGTGAAGGAGGACGTGCAGAGGGTTGGAGTGACTGAGGAGGGGGTGGAGGCCAGTGGTGGAGATGGACATTTTTCTAATGTCTGTAAATAAATGAAGGAAACCTCAGCATCTTTCATCCCAGCTGGAACGTACCAAGTGTCACTTATGGGGAGGGCCGATGGAGATGATGAACCATGAGTCGGCCTTGTTTCTGTAAGCTGATTAGTTTTGTCATCAGTGTGTCTCACAGCTGATCAGCTGTATCGATCCTTCCACGAGACAGAAATGTCCCAGTGACGGAGGCGGTGAAGTTGCATTTAAAAATGTGTTTGTCCTTCGCTTAAGAAAGGGAATTGTGTGTGTGTGTGGGTGTGTGTGTGTGGTGGTGGGGGGGTGACCCGGTGAGCCCGGGATCCTCGGCGGGTCTGCAGCCTGCAGCTGGCCGGGGATGAGCGCTGACAGGCGGACTGAGCTGCACCCAAAGCCGCCTGCCCGCCTCCTCTCCCGGCCTCCAGCCTCCGCAGGCATTCGGTGAACTTTAATTTTTGCGCACTTGCTTTCTTCCGTTTTTCCATGTCATTTCCTGTGATAAAAAATGGTGGTCACAGCTCGGGGGAGGCGACTGAGTCGGTGCAAAAATTAACGCCAAACTTGTGATCTGCGGGCAGCGGCGGAGCCAGCGGACGGGGGAGGGGGCAGAGAGCGCGGTTCATCCCGGGGAGAGGCTCCCAGTCCCCGCTGCGTGTCTGCACGAAGGTGGGTCCGTGTCGGTGGCCACTGTGGCCAGTGAAAATGGCTTCCGAAAACTGCAGGCAGATTGCCAGCTGCCTGCAGATTGAAGCGGAGAAAGCGTGGCGCAGATCCGAGCCCGAACGCGCTCTCGTTACCGCAGACCTGCGCAAAGTTAAAGGCAACTTTAGTCTGCGGCGTTCACGTGTCCATGGACCTCGCAGCGTACGTTCAGAGTTTCTTTGTCGGAGCTTCGTGAAGCCACGGAGGGGCAGATCCGTCCGAGACCCACACACTGATCCCCGGCATCTGTCCCTGTTCGATGCCGTAGGTCAATACTTGATCACACCCACAGCTGCTTTGTATTTCAGTCAGATAATCCCGTGTTCTTATCACGCAGGTGATTGACTGTTATCTTTCCAGGTAGAGTGTGGCTGTAGCAGGGTTATTATGGGATGCATGAAGCAGCAGCAGGACCCTTCAGAGTGTTTACTGCAGGCTCTGCAGCTTTGCATGATTCACTGTTCAGAATAATCCTTCTTTTTATGTTACACTGGCCCTGCTCCTGTATTCTCTGACAGAACGCTTTCGTCTGATTGGCCAGCTTCTGTAAGCTTCTGTTTGTTTTGTGACAGTATAACCGGGATGTGTAGATGCATCAGCAGCGCTCAGGCTAAAAAATAAATCAGCCGCTGGGTCGGAGATGTTGGGAAAATTTGCTGAAAATCATTATTGGGTTCCATGTTTGAACAATACCGTTACATAGAGAATATTCCCAGCAGTCCACAAACGTCTTTCAGGTTAGTCTTGAGAAGTCAAGCACACCCAGTTTTTTCTTTTTTTAAATTTATTCTCAAAAATGCACATTTTCCCCTGAGCTTTACCCCAGTCACCGGGACGATGCCTCAGAGGTCAAGTCTGAGGCACACGCTGGTCGTCCAGCTTAAGTTTCTGCTTTTTTCTCTTATTATTAGAAAACGATTCCAGGAAATGAGCTTTTGTTTTGGTATGAAACGAACATTTGGATCCAGAATGATTCCCGCGCTCGATGACGGAGCGGCGGCGCGTGGGACTCCCGCAGCACTTTGATGACAGGTAGCTGGTGTGGAGAAATGTGAACGATACAAAGAAACGCTTAAACCACGTTTCAGTCTGAGAGCTCATACCTGTGACCTTCACCTGTCCCCGATTCTGAAAAACGGAGCTTCAGTTTGTGAAGAGAAACACGAGTACGAATATCTGATAAACTGAACGTGCTGCGGGAGCAACGAGCGCCTCCTGTGACGCTCTAACGACTGTGTTTATTTTCCACAGACGGGTGTGAAGTGGACGACGGACCGGATTTCACCATCATGGTTCCACCATGAGCGAGAACTCGCTGGACCTCTGGTGTAAGCTTCACGTCTGCTCCCTGATTTGTCCCTAGAGCTTGATGTGGCTGATTGAATAATGAATATTTGAATGTTTCCGTGCTCGCGCTCTGAGCCCTAACATGTCGTCATTATCACGCTGACACGTGGAGCTGCTCGTGCGTTTCCTGCACACGTGTATTTGTTCAGTGGTCTGATTCTATCAGAACATGTTAGAAAAGCCTCTGATTGTGCTGCCAGCCACAAACGTTTTACCTCAAACACTCAAAGATGTGGTAAAAACTTTCTGTCCTCTCGTGACGGACGTGAGTGTCAGGATCATTTTGGGCTTTCAATCATTTCTTTGAACAGTTTCTTTGGATTGTACAGCTTTAAAGACTTTAAAGAACAAGTTTCTCTGGTCCAAAGTTCACGTATAGGCTCAAATATATATACAGACCCTATGTAATGTTTGGTCATTTAGCAAGTTGCGATCAGACACCTTCAGCAGTCTTCTGACGTAATCCTGTCTGGATAAAACAGCCCAGAGCGTGATGCTGCCACCGCCATGCGTCACAGCTGCAGTGTTCTCAGGGTTGAAAGCCTCACCTTTGCTCCTCCAATCAGCTCCATCTTTGTCTCGTCTGACCATCAAACTTTTCTCCAGACGCCGTTTGGCTCGTCCACGTGGGCAGATTTCAGTTGAGCTCGTTGATTTTGGAGCAGGAGCTTCTTTCTTGGTCCATGGAGATGTGAGACTGGCTTCACTGTGGAAGGGACACTGGTGTTCCAGCAGATTCCAGTCCACAGCAGGCTTGATCCTGGGTGTTCCTGAACATCCTAACAGTTTCCTGTCATCTGAGAGCGACAGTCTGGGTCTCTCCCAGACCTCAGTGGAGACAGATCTGAGTCACTTGTGTGATTTTGAACCTTGTTCAGAAACGGCTCAGAGAAACGTGTAAACCAACAGTTCTGCTTTTAGATCTTCACTGAGACGTCTCGATGCGCGCTCAGTCATCCGGGTAAGGAAATCCCAAAAGGCTGATCCTGTTCATCTGGACGTTTTCAGTGGGAGAAACGTTTCATCATCATCAGGCGACTGCAGGTCTCCACCCTTATAAACAGAACATGTGCATAATAGCTGACACCAGCACCACTGACGAACAGCGTGCTGTCAGGTCGGTTTCATGACCTACGTCCAGATGAACAGAATCAACTTTCTGGGACTTCACTGAGTTTGTTGGATTTTCCCTTTGTCTGCACCTGATTTGATGATGTCATTATTTGCACTCTGGTTCAACAACATCTGAATCTCAGGATTGTCTTCTCAAATCTTCCTAAAGTAATAATCTGTTATTAAAGAAGAAGATTTGGAGATAACCTTTATCTGCTGGGTTTGTCCTTCAGTCTGTGAGGAGTGTCAGGACTATTTCCAGAAGGAGTGTCCGTCTCACGGGCCCCCACTGTTCGTCCGGGACACGCACGCAGCCCCGGGGACGGCCAACAGGGCGGCGCTCACGGTCCCATCGGGTTTAGAGGTGTTCAGCGAGGGAGATGAGGTAGATGTTCGCTGCGTGGACGCGATCTACCCGAAGGGGGCGCTGTTTGGGCCGTATGAGGGAGAGCTGGTGTCCAAGGACAGATCCTCAGGATTCTTTTCATGGATCGTAAGCTCGCCACAGACACCAGTATACAACCAGTATACAACCAGTATACAACTACTTTCCTTTTGTTCCGGGACGTCTCAATCTGTTTGCTTTCCCGTTTTCAGATTGTTGATGTGCACAACACTTACCAGTCCATCGATGGCAGCGATGAGACCAAAGCCAACTGGATGAGGTGAACTTTAGTCTGAGGTTAACGTCATCCATCACCGCCGGCGTTTGTTTCAGTTGTACCGACGGGTTCTCTTCTACTGAGCCAACAACCTTTCATACATCTCTTTTTTTCTCTTTAATTTCATTTTAAATTTGGGTGCTTGGCAACACATTCATCACCTCATTAAAACCACAATACCACAGTAAATCTGATTTGCAGGAGTTACTGAGTTACATCTCAGAGGTCAGACTGATCCATGATGGTCTGTCCTGGAGAAACGACCCTCGGCTTTTCTGTCTCTGACCAGGTACGTGCGGACCTCGTTGGAGGAGAGCGACAGGAACCTCACGGCGTTTCAGCACGGTAAAAACATCTACTTCAGAGTCTGCCGGGCGCTGGCGGCCGGAGAGAAGCTGAGGGTCTGGTACAGCGACGATTACATCAGACGACTTCACTGCGTTTCTCAGGAGAGCATCGACCGCAACCTGGACACAGGTGAGGAGGCAGTCGGGTGAAATATTAGAGCCGGTAACAGGAGACGCAGTCACTGAAAATATATCATGAGTTTTAAAATCTCTTCATACAATTTGGAATTTGGATGAAATCTCCCTTTTGTGCATCATCTATATGTCCCCTCTGTAATATTCTGGATATTTGTAATTAGAGACATTTCTTATATTTTGTAAACTTTGTAATATGTTGCATTATTTAATTAGTTCAGTCTGTTACTGTTGTCGTCTTGGAGCGACTGTGACCCACATAGACTCCTCAGGGATTATTCAGATGTCCTGCTCTTGGCTCTCCAGCAGGCGGCGCTGTTTCGCTGTTGCTCTCCTGGGTGCTGGAGTCTTTCTGTGGATCACTTTGTCACCTGTAGAGCACTTTGAACCCACTTTTAGGGGCTTTAAATAGCTCAAAAACGGTTTTCTTTCAGGTCCTGGGAAAGACTTCAAGTCCCCATGCCTGCAGTCAGCTCTGCAGGGCAAACTGAGCAAACAGCCGAGCGAAGAGTCCGACGGTCAGCCTCCGGCCAAGAGAAAGAAGATCGACCTCATCTTCAAACACGTCCTAGAAGCTTCTTTGGAGGACTCTGGTAAATTCAGGTTCCGGTCTGGCCAAACCAGCGAGTATAAAGTACCAGCCCTGGTTTCGGGGTTTGATTCCTCTGAGAGCGGCTTTGGCGTTCCCAACCTGAAGGTGGAAGAGAAGGAGGAGGAGAACCAGAGCACAGAGAAACCCTCCACCTCCTTCTGCCCCAACTGTGTGAAGCTGAAGAGGAGGATCCTGGAACTGGAGGAGGAGCTGTCCCGTCTCCGAGGAGAACAGGGAGACGCTGCTGCTCCGGCGACGTCCGAACAGACTCAACGCGATCAGGCCCCACCGCACCCCGAGCAAGGCCCCATCGAGGATTTTCAAGGTATGTGAGAGAGCAGGAGGGCAGATGTTCTCTGCAGCGCAGCGGCGTTACCGCTCTGCAGTGTGGCTGTGTTTGACGTGCAGAGTCTAGCAGGCGTGTTTGTTTCGATCACCATCTGAAGCCACATTCACACAAAAAAGACTCTGAAGGTTCGTTTGGCTGTTTGTTTCCACCACAGTCCCACAAAGATTAGTCACATTAGTTAATACCTGCAGACTTTTGCACACATCAGCCACTTTATTAGGAACACCTTGCAAGTAAAATGCAGTCTAATACAGATCAGTACATCCCGCCCACTGACCTCAGTAATGCATTTAAGTGTACCTAATAAAGTGTCTGGTGAGTGTGAATGAGAGAAAACTCAACCGATGAGCGATGTGTGTCGCTGCAGGAGCCCCCCTGAAGTCCGCCCAAGTTCACCACTGAGAGGAGGAAAAGCTCTCTGTCGGGACAGAAAGTTTTCTAGACCGGTCCGCGAGTCGTTTGGTACCAGGCCGCGAGAGTTGATGCTCGGGTGTGAAATTCACGGTTTTCAGGTTTTTATCGTTATTTTCTTTTAATCGTTTTTATTGTTAACTCGCTTTCCCTGGGTCTTTCCCGTGGGTTATGAATAAATCTTTTTTTGGTACTGGTACTGCTTTTATTTTATTGTATTTATTCGCGACACCTTAAAGGCCAGTCCGTGAAAATATTGTCGGGCATAAACCGGTCCGTGGCGCAGAAAGGGTTGGGGACCTTTGTTCCAGACGGTTCTTGGTTCAGTTCAGTGATTTCATGCAGATTGTGATGCCAGACAGTTTATTCAAACATGCCAGCACTGCTGCTAGCTGCTGCAGTTTGTCAGCACATTGCGTGGTCGTCACCAGCGATGGGCAGTAACGCGTTCCTTGTAACTGCAGAGAGAGTATGAGCGTGCAGCGTTTAACGTGATGGGAAACTCACAGAGAAACTCGCGGATTCTTCCACTGACCGCGGCACACCTGCACCAGGGTAAACCTCCACCTGCCCCACTCCTGCATTACAGGTGAAAATAGAGCAACAGGACCGCTGAGTCTGTGACTTTATTTATTTTCTGCTGTGTTTTACTTGCATCTATTTGAAAGACTGAGTGTAAACACAAAAAATATTTTATTTTATGTGCTGGAATGTGCAGAAAATAGGTTTCAATGTTAAACTAATTTCTTCCAGTCAGAGAATGTTGCATATAATTAAATGTTTGCTTGATGCATAAAGTTAAAAGATTAAAACTAATAAAACAAGTTTTAAAAAGAGACTTTTCCATCTGATCACATTTTGTATGATGATTATGTAGAAAAAGTAGAATTGTGCTGAAAGATCTATCGCTTTATCACCTATTCAGGGTGTAAATCGTGTTTTTAAAAAGTAACTAAGTAACTAATTACTTTTGAAAATAAGTAATCAGTAAAGTAACGGGATTACTTTTGTGGGGAAGTAATCAGTAATTAGTTACTGATTACTTTTTTCAAGTAACTTGACCAGCACTGGTCGTCACAGACCGCTAGCTCAGCTGATGGTCGGTGCCGAGGCCGCCGCCTCTGTCTTCTGTCAGAAATGTGAATGAACACACAGCCGAGTGCCGTCCTGAGGAGCTGGCTGTCCTGTGAGCTGTGGAGTGGTTCTACTATGACGATCATGACAGCAAAGATATCTGCCAAACGCGAGGAGTGCTCTAAGCACGTGTGAATCCTGTCTAATGGTTGTGGAGCGCTCACGTTGATGCTCCCCACTGTGTTTACAGCAGAGCAGTTGAGATGAGCTGTGCAGCCCCAGAAATCTGCTCAGCTGCTTGATAAAGTCATTCACTCTGCATGATATTAGACATTTGATGTGACTTTAATGCTGGTTACTCTCAGAAGTTGAATAAGTTTCTCTTTGCAGGGATGGAGCCCTTGACACCCACTCAGGTGGTTCTGGACGAAGACGAGCAGGACGTGGACTCTGCCGATGAGTCCATCGCTGCAGATCTTGTGATATCTCCCGAGGACTCGTCGAAGCTTTCCTCCGCAGGAGGCAGACGGATTCGACGCTTCAAGCAGGAGTGGCTGAAAAAGTTCTGGTTCCTCCGTTACTCGCCAACCCTGAATGAGATGTGGTGCCACGTGTGCCGCCAGTACACCGTCCAGTCATCCCGCACCTCAGCTTTCATTATCGGCTCCAAGCAATTCAAGATCCACACCATCAAGCTGCACAGCCAGAGCAACCTCCACAAGAAGTGTCTGCAGCTGTACAAGCTGCGCATGCATCCGGAAAAGACCGAGGAAATGTGCAAGAACATGATGCTTCTCTTCAACGCAGCGTACCACCTGGCCCTAGAAGGGCGGCCCTTCTCCGACCTCCGTTCATTGGCAGAGCTCCTGAAGAAGTGCGAGCTCAAAGTGGTAGATCAGTATATGAATGAAGGCGACTGTCAGATCCTAATCCACCACATCGCCCGGGCTGTGAAGGAGGATCTCGCAGAGAAGATGCGTCTGTCTCCCTTCCTGAGCGTCATAATGGACGCCCAAAACGATGACCTTTTCTCCGACATGGTGGCGGTCTACGTCCAGTTCGTTACCAACGAGGGCTCCCCAAACACAGAGTTCCTGTCCTTGCAAAGACTGACCATGGCCAATGTGGATGGGTATCTCCAGGTCATGGATCGTGCCTTTGGTGTCCTAGGCCTCCGGTTTCAGGACTTGCTGGTGGTCGGTTTGGGGGTGGACGGCACCAACATCTCTTCAGGAATGAGAGCAAACCTTTATATAGCTGTCCAAAAAACCTTTCCCTGGATCCTCTGTCTTCCCATCATGATCCATCGACCACATCTGGAAGTTCTGGATGCCATCAGTGGAAAGGAGCTCTCCTGCCTGGAGGACCTGGAAAACAACCTCAAACAGCTTCTCAGTTTTTACCGCTACTCCCCTCGCATGATGGCCGAACTGCGATCCACTGCACCAACACTGTCAGAGGAGACGGAGTTCCTAGGAGACATCAGAGCCATACGCTGGATCATAGGAGAGCCCAACGTCCTTAATGCGCTCATCAAGGATTACCTGGAGGTCGTTGCACACCTTAAGGAGATCAGTAGCCAGACACAGAGGGCTGACGCTGCGGCCATCGCGCTCACCCTCCTCCAGTTCCTCATGGACTATCAGTCAGTGAAGCTCATCTACTTCCTGCTCGACATCATAGCTATCCTGTCACGATTGGCCTTCACCTTTCAGGGAGAGTACCTGCTGGTGTCGCAGGTGGAAGCCAAGATAGAGGAGGCCATTCAGGAGATAGGCCAGTTGGTGGACTGCCCCGGAGAATATCTGCAGGAGTTTGAGGAAAATTTCAGAGAAAGTTTTAACGGAGTTGCCTTGAAGAACCTGCGCGTTGCAGAGTCCAAGTTTCAGTCCATCAGAGAAAAGATCTGCAACAGGAGCCAAAGCATCCTGTCTCAGAGGTTGGACCTGCAGAGCTGCTCATTTGCCAAAGCCTGCAAGGTGCTGGACCTGTCCACCTGGCCCAGCAACCACGAGGACCTGCAAGCCTACGGGGACGAGGAAATCAAGATTATATTCAACCACCTGGAATCGATTCCCACCGCAGCCCAGGAGGTCTCCCAGACGGAGGCCAGAGGCAGCCTGGTGGTGGAGTGGAAGGATCTGAAAGCGGACTACTACAGTATGAACGGTTTTAAAGAGGTGATCGGCCACATCTGCAGGTACAAGCAACGCTTCCCGCTGCTGAACCGCATCGTGCAGGTCGTCAGGGTCCTGCCCAGCTCCACGGCCTGCTGCGATAAGGGCCGAGGGTCTCTGCAGAAAATGTGCAAGAACAACCGCTCCCGGCTGACCCTGGAACAGATGAACGATCTGCTGACTGTGGCTGTTAATGGACCGCCCATCGCAAACTTTGACGGGAAGCGAGCATTGGACAGCTGGTTTGAGGAAAAGTCCGGCAGCAGCTACTCGCTCTCGGCTGAGGTGTTGAACAGGATGTCGGCGGCTGATCAGAAATGCGTGCTGCACAGCGTTGACGTCAACGCAGAATTCTACCCTGATGTGTAACATGCAGATCCTGTGCTGCTGAAAGATGTGGTGTGCAGCCAAACAAGGGTAGACGCTGAATTCAGAAAAGCCGTGACGTCACAATTACTGCCACCAAATTCAGCTGGAAGAACAAAAGCAGCCAATCGGTGTGAAGAGGCAGAAAATCAAACATCCCAAAAATTCCACTAAAAACTCAAGAAAACCCAAACGAGCCATGTGAGCGCGTCTTGACCTTCAGTGGCCTTTGGCTCGTTCAGTCATCAGGTTCTGGGAACACTTTCTGCACGGCCACCAAAATGTTTGTTGTGAAATTTTAGCTTCATATATCAAAAATGTTTCAACATATAGGATTTTAAAAATGGCTCTGTAGACTTACTTCCAGCAGCTTTTATCTTTTTTTGCAGTTTGAAATCTGAGGCCATGTTTGAATATGAGTATCTCCAAAACTGTTAAATGTTAAACATACAAGTAGTGGGACTCTCCAACATTTGCTCTCAGAGGTGAAACGTCTGGAAACCTGGAGGCCAGTCGCTTTTCTTTGCGAGCTCCTTAGACGACCGTGACCTGGTGAGAACCTTCACAGACATAATGATATAAAACTTTTCATATGAGAAATAAACTTAGCAAAGCAATTAAGACTTGTGAAAAGGGGATTTCTAGCTCATTTCCCATGATTGGCAGTCGGATACAAGACAAACATGACCTCATAGTGGGTGAAAATAAATATTTAACATATTAAGCTAAAGTTTCACAGCAATCCTTTTACATGTCCAAACTTTTGATCGTGAGACCTTTGGACAAATCGAAGGTGGTCGAGCCGAGAGCCCACGGCGACTGAGATAGACTGAAGAAGCGTTTCTCCACAGAGCTTCAGCCTGCAGTCTGCTCGTTCTGCTCGTGAACGTGCGAAAGCTCATCATCAGCTGCATTTAAAGGAGCTACAGAAACACACGTTATGAAGATGAAGGCCTCTGCAGACCAGAGAAAATGTCACATGACCTTTTAACATCCACCAGCTCAACTGGAAATCTTACTAAGACGAACTCCGAGTCAGACTCTCTGTAAAAGGCCTGATCTGACTGCTATGGTATTCTGGTCTCTGTGTGAATGGGTTGCAACCTAATCTCGACCCAAGTGAACAAAAATGACCGCAAAGTGCTTCAAAACGTCCCAAATCGATGCAAAACGACGTCCAAAAGGCTCCGAGAGACCCACGACCTCCACGGAGACACAGACTCACCACCAAGAAACAAACGTCCACAGGGAGGCGGCGAAACAAGAAGCACAAAAACAAGCGACGGAAGACGAGCTGAGCGTGTGCCGTTGTGTTGCTTTCACGTGTCCGTGCTCGGCTGGGAGCCTCCCGCTCCGAGCTGCGCTTGTTCCATGTGATAATGAAGCGCTTGTTGCCACGATAACAGACAGTTTCACATCGGGAACAATCGTTGCTCTCTGCTTTAGCTCATCTGCCAGCAGCTTATTCAGTGTTGTGCCTGACAGGAATGAAAAGCTGGAGTGTGAGGATGTATAAAGGCTTTATATTTCTATTAGAAATGCCCTGCTGCACACGGTCTATACTGTGGTGACTGTACATACTGTAAATGCTGCCGAGCCTGTTTTTAAAGGACAGTGTTTTTCTCTTGAATTGGATGATTGTGCCAAAATGATCGAATGCGAAGAAAAAGGTGCTATCCTGCGACGCCACGCTGTACTTTTGCCATATTTGTTCAGTCTTTAGTGCAGCCAATGATCTATTTTATGTTCCTGATGCCATTTTCCACTGATGTTCTGCAGGAGCAGTTCAGCTTCGGCCAAAGCTTCAGAGGCGTTGTAACAGCTGCATGATCGACTGCTGCTTTCAGCTCTTCCTAAGCCTGTGTTTTATAATTATTATAAAGGTTTTTTTGCTCATGTTTAATGCAGAAATAAATATGCCATGATGGGAATGATCAGCCTGACTTTATTTTTTATATTTGTCTGAATTTAAATTCATATGTTTGAGAAATTTGTCATTTTTAAAAATTATTTTGCTTCATAAATATGAGCAGCTGATCTTCAGTCCTCCATAGTTTGAGTAGTTTTTCTCAGACTGTAGTTAAAAGATGGATGCAGCTGTTAGTTCTACAGAGAAGCCAACAGGGGGCGACTCTTGTGGTCTGATTGTATAGAATTATATTTGATATATATTTTCATGAATATTGTTCATATTTTCATACAATATTATTTACACCATTTAAAAAATGTTTTTCGTAAATTTTTCAGAAAACATTTAATTACATATTCTGATAATTCATGAATTTGAGATTTAAGCAGATGACCCCGCCCCTCTCTGGTTCTGCCGGAGGTTTCTTCCTGTTTTTCCTTCACACTGTCGTCAAAACGCTGGCTCATTATTATTGTAGGGTCTTTACCTGAGAATATAAAATGCTTGTGATTTGGTGCAATACAAATAAAATTGAATGAATTAATATTTTTGGTCATATAATTGGTCAATAACAGTCAGCTTTATCTTTTAGTAATTAAAATAAATAAATCTTTGGACATGTTTTTCTGATCTGTGTAAGAATGTTATTTGAATATTTGAGGGGAAATTTATTACTATTCATTAAATGTTTATTTTCACCAGTAAAATTTTTAAAATAAATTTTTTTTATTTAATTCTTTTTTCTGTGTTTTTCTAATATTTTCTAAATTACAAAGCGAGTTAGTAAATTACTTTATTGCAAATTATTATTTAATGCTCTCAGTTGCAGTTGCAATCTGAGTTAAATACTCATCTACGGTGAAGATGAGTCATCTTCATCTTTTTTCCTCCACCGTCCCTTGCGGGGCTCCGTACTCATCTTATACTTCATAATAACATTTAATTAGCAGACGTTGGGTCTTATTGATCCTGGGATGTTACTTTTCCACATGGACGATGTTATACATTATTCGGTGTATTAGATGCTTCTTTTTAATACTCAGCTTCCAGCTTTTAAAACAATGTTCCTAATACTGTAGGTGATTATTATTGTTTGGATGAACTGATCAGATGATGGCGTTAGCTGAAGTTTTCCGTAATTAGTTTAAAATAAATATTTATAAACTAGTAAAAAGAGCAAATGAAGCAAAGACGACGCATCTTCTTTATTTGTTTGTTTAAAGCCACAAAAATAAGAAAAACCTTTTTCAGTGTTGTAATTACCCGGAACTGCATTTCCCATAATGCCGCGGGGCTGTGAACCGTTAGGAGGACTGACTGCACAATGATGTCATTTTACTCGCTGACGACCGTTATACTGCGGACAGATCTGCGTCGCGAGCGCTCGGCTAATTATCGTGTGCGCACTCAGACAACTGCCACTACGTCACTGCAAGCTGCTGAAACGTCATCGGGATCTACAGGTGAGCATTTTACGTGAACTCAGTGTGTGAGTCTCCGTGTTTACATATCTTTGTGGGGACCAAACATTGGAAGTTTATGGGGACCAACAGTTCCGTCCCCACGAGCCGTCTTTCACACTCAAACTGCAGTGTCAGGGTCAGAGTTCAAGCTGAGGGCCAGGCACTGGTTTTGGATGCTTGGGCAATCAGCTAGGGAAGGGTTATGTCAAAAAGATGTCGTCACTAAGATATGAAAATGTGTGTGTGTGCGTGGGTGCGTGCGTGTGTGTGTTTTCCGGTTTGTCGGTGAGCCACAGCTCACCTCTGCTTCCTGCACTCAGCTGCGGCAGTTGAATAAAAATAAAAATACAAGTGAATTGCACATTTCAAGTATTGAGTCTATTGCACTGTTGACTATTTACAAAAGGTATTGCACAGTGAGGTGCAGAGGCACTACAGCTTAGTTGTTCCCTCCTTTGTCCTCCTGTTTCCCCTCCCTCTCCCCTCCAGGGAGGAGTTAAACAGTCTGATGGCGTGTGGGACAAAGGAGTTTTTAAGTCTGTTAGTTCTTGTCTTTGGGAGAAGCAACCTGTCACTGAACAGACTCTTCTGGTTGTTAATGGCCGTGTGCAGAGGATGTCCAGCATTGTTCATAATGTCCAGCAGTTTCTTTAATGTCCTTTTCTCTGCCACTGTCACCAGAGTGTCCAGCTTCATGCCGACCACAGAGCTAGCCTTCCTGATCAGTTTCTCCAGCCTGGATGAGTCCTTCTTTGCTGTGCTGCTCCCCCAGCACACCACAGCATAGAAAAGTACTCCAGCAACCACCGACTGGTAAAACATCCTCAGGAGCTTCCTGCAGATGTTAAAAGACCTCAGCCTCCTGAGGAAGTACAGTCGGCTTTGGGCTTTTTTATACAGGTGCTCTGTGTTGCATGACCAGTCCAGTTTATTGTCCACCCACAGCCCGAGGTACTTGTACTTGTTGACCACCTCCACCTCCTCCCCCTCTATCTGAACCGGCAGTGGACCTTCTCTGGACCTCCCGAAGTCCACAACCAGTTCCTTAGTCTTTGAGGTGTTGAGTTGCAGGTGGTTTGTGTGACTCCATGCGACAAAGTTCCTCACCAGACTTCTGTACTCCTCTTCCTGATCATCCCAGATACACCCCATGATGGCTGTGTCATCTGCAAACTTCTGAATGTGGCATAATTCAGAGTTGTAGCAGAAGTCAGAGGTGTACAGGGTGAAGAGAAGAGGGGACAGCACAGTTCCCTGTGGTGCTCCTGTGCTGCTGACCACAGTGTCAGACGTGATGTCCTTCAGCCTGACGTACTGTGGTCTGTCGGTGAGGTAGTCGGAGATCCAAGCCACCAGGCAGGGGTCCACCTCCATCCTGTTCAGTTTTTCCTGAAGCAGACGGGACTGGATGGTATTAAAGGCACTCCTGAAGCATGACTTCTAAATAAAAGCCAACTTCCAGTAAATTAAGAGCACATTCACAAATATCAGTTAGTCTTGTTTGAACACTAATGCTGGATACAAATGACATACCCTACTATTCTAGTAGCAACATGTCAATATTAAAGCCATCTCCTTTTGGATTTCAAAGTAAAAGCCCTCTGAATGTTTATTTTTGAACTACTCTTTCAATTAATTCAGAATGGAAAATTCACGTTTCCACAGACTAGTCGCAGTCTATATTGACATTATACAACCCCATAGTGATACCATGTCAATCCGGTTGTTCAGTGATGACACGACGAATCCTACTTCCGGGTCTAAAGTAGTCTGCGTTTAATATGGCTTTTGTGTTGTTAACATGTTTAATGTTTTGTATTTTCTTCTATTTGATCTCAAAAAGCTCCTAAAACAGTCAGTGATCACTGTTGACCTCCCTCGGCTTTTGTTACCACTAATCATTTATTTAAGCTCAGTTTTTAAAACCTTAGGATGTAACTACAGCCCATGCAGCAGTATATGAATGACTAACCTCGTATTGTGGATGGATTATCTCAGTTGTTCTCCTGGCTGAAGTTTGGTCCTTTTACAGCATCCTGCCATGCGATTACATTTGTTCCTGACCACCGAGAACACTCACGGTAACTTTTATGGAGTGGAAAAAAGTTAGCTTGTTTATATTATGCTAACATAGCTGTGTCGCTAGCGGTCACGTAGCACATCATTATATACCAGCTAGCCCAACTTCAGTAACCCTACAAACATCACTGCTGTTTAGTTTTCTGTCTTCATTTATGCTGGAAGTGATAACAGAGCTGTACGTTTGAATTTGTTTCCAAAACCCCGCAGTCAGGACATGCTATATTGTATTTAGATAGAAGCTAGCGAGCTAACTCCCTGCTAACTTCTAACTCCGTTAAATGTCATAAATTCCATTTTCATGGATGCCTGGATGTTAAACTCAATTGTTACACCTGGTAGAGCAGAACGCTGATCATTTTATTAAAGATGAAAGACTTTAGACAGTTTTTCAACTCTCAGTAATGCCACAGTGATCGTTTGATATATGGACCTGCAGCGGAGTTTAGGCCCAGACACGGCTAGTGACGTCAGACTGAACAACCGGATATCAATCGTTCTTATTTTGCCTTTCAAAATAAGAGCCCTTTCAAATTGCCCACACGGGAAATAATCTTTCAATGAATTCTGATTTCTCTAAAAAGACAAATTCTTGTTTACACTGCATAATTTCCATCTGGGTCAAGAGTAAGCAAACCCACAGTGATACCATATCAATATCAAATCAGTCTGATTGTGCCTTTCAAAATAAAAGCCTTTTCAAATTGCCCATTTAAGACCTAACTGTCATGGTCCTGAGTCTGCCGACTCAGTGTTTTGTTTCTTTATGCTTTTGTTTATTCTGATTATGTACTCCGTTATGATTTGCCATTTGTTAGGTTTCCCTGGTCCCACTTCTGTCTGCTTGTGAATCTGTCTGTTTAGTTCTGTCTCTTGTCTGGTTCTCTGTGTCTGAGCTTCCTGTTTTATTCTGAAGGTCCCCGTCTCATGTGAGTGTGTTCAGTTTCCGTTTCCTCCGTCCCGTCAGCGCTGACTTCTTCCAGCTGTGTTGCCCTCCTGTCTCTCATCCCCTGATCACTGCTGTGTGTATTTAAGCCCTGTGTGTTCTCCTGCCTGTTGCCGGTTCGTCTGTGTTTCACGGTGTCCTGTTCCTCGTCTGCGGCTCTCCGGTATCATCTCAGGTTTGTTATTTAGTTTATCCAGTTTAGGTTTCTTTAGTTCCCTCTCATCCCTCGCTGCCTGTTTGCCACTACACCACCCTGTAAATAAACATCACTCGAATCATCATTCATCACCTGCATTTTGGGGCCTCCTTTCCTCCAACACCACACGGCTCGCCTCGGCAGCTTTGACACTAACTTTCAGTGATTTCAGAATGCTCTAAAAATGAAAATTGGTGTTTCCACAGGGTAATTCCACTTTAGATCAACAGTATCCAACCCCACAGTGACACCATGTCAATATCAAGTTAGTCTGATGTTGCTTTCCAAAATAAAAGCCTTTTCAAATTGCCCATATATGACTTACTCTTTTAATGATTTCAAAATGCTCTTAAATTGAAATTTGCTGTTTCCACAGGATGAATCCATGTTAGATCAACAGTATCCAACCCGACAGTAAAACCATGTAAATTTCAAGTTGCTCTGATTTTGCCTTTCAAATTAATGGCCCGTCGAATTTGCCCATATGTGATATAGTCTTTCAATTATTTCAGAATGTTTTAAAAATAAATTGCTGTTTCCACGGGATAATTTCCCTCTAGATCAACAGTGTACACTATCACGGGGATATCAAGTCAATTTCAAGTCGCCTTGATTTTGCCTTTCAAAGTAATGGCCCGTTGAAATTGCCCATGTATGACCCACTCTTTCACTGACTTCAGAATCCCATTAAAAGCAAAGTTAAGCATCTTTGTTCTCTGTGAAAGAAAAAAACTACAGAGACTTCCATCTTTAATATACAGCACCCAGCAGGAGGTGAAGGGTCAGAGCACTGAGTTTCTGTCCTGGATTTTTTGGAGTATTTCTCCGTCTCCTGGAAACAGAGAAAGCAGCTTTCCTGCCGAGCTGTCCGGCCGCTCCCGGGCGGGCAGGAAGCGACCGGACGCTGCCAGCGCTTCCACGTCAGAGGAGCCAGAGCCGCTGCTGTCAGCCAGGCAGAGAGCGACTGGACGCCGGCTCACTGTGACGTCTTTGTCAGCGAATGAAGCGCGCTTTGTCTGCAGCTGCTGACATCACCTGCAGTCAGACACCAGAGGGGAGCTAAATGTAGACTGTACTTAAACGATGGACGCCTGACACCACTGCAGGTATTTATTACACAGATTCTGACGCAGAGTCCTGGGAGCGCCGCTTTTCTTCAGCTGCAGCTCAATGCATGACTCCAACCTCTGCTGGAAACAGCGGCGCGGACGCTATCGTGTAAGGCAGCTCGGGAGGGTTGGGGGTCGTGGCACACGGCGCGGCACCGCTCTTAGAGGGGCGACTGTGCGACGTCCAGCTGCCGCCTGAAGCTGCACACACGCCTTTGTCCAAACACTCGTTTTGACTGAAGCCACTCGAAGCTGCCAGCCGAGGATTGGTGTGAGGAGGACTAAAGATGGACACCCACACCATAATGGAGCCTCTGTGTGTCCCCAGGCCCAGCCAACAGGACGCTCTCTGTTCTGTGAAGTAACGATTGAGCACATAAACTGATCACACTCCTGTGACCTCTGACCCCTTTAAGGCTGTCAAACAGGTCAGAAACCGGACTTTCTGTCTAAGGTAACCTGTGTAAAAGTGGCAGCCATGTTTCTTTTACGTCTATTGTGACGTCAGAACGGCGCACAGGAACTTTGGGTCCTTTCACTTATTTCCTGCTTTTCTGCAGTGAAACGGACGCAGACCTGGATGCTGGACGCTGCAGCCCGGCCACGTCTTTAGAAACAAAACCAGATCACATGATCCTTCACCGCTTTTCTTCTTCTTTTTAGATTATTTCATCTCAGTCAAAAATCTACTTATTCATTTACCATTTCTTCCTGTGGAGAGCCTCTTCTGGCTTCACATCCCATCGCTTCCTTTCTTGCAGGTTTCTCTCTCTCCTCATCATCACTGCTTTCACAGAGAGGAAGGGGGCGGGGCTGAGTGCAGGCAGCACACGCTGCTGGTTCCCAACGACTCTGATTTACAAACGCACACCTTCTATACATTTAATTCATTATTATATTGAATAAACTCATTTTTCTGTTTGCACGTCGACATCAGTAAACGAGGCGCGGTGTGCAGTTCGTCCCCATGTTAACCCGATTCTTTTGTCCCCGTGACAGAACAGAGGAAACCGACTCTTAGTGTTAAAACATTTATATTTCTTTGTCTTCAATCATCTTCCGGAGAGACCCCTGCACAGCTCAAACGCCAGCTCCAACATTTTTAGCTCCACGTGTCTTATATGATGTTATTTCTGTACTTCAGACGTCACAGTTTCAAACGTTGCTTATATTGTGTCTTATCTGTTAATACACCTGTGCACTAAGACTTCCTGTTCTTCCGTCTGCTGAGCACCTTGTGAGTCAACAGTGGCCTTGCTCTACAAGCCGTCATTATTAAAGTACATAAAACAATCTGATAGGAAAATAAGGATACTGAGGATATTGATTTCATGACAGGCCTCAGTCATATTGGTGGATGTCTCCCGCTGAGTCCAAACCGTCGTTAAAGAGCGTCAAACACGGATTGGCTCCCTCACATGTGCTTCCTGAGCTCGATCTCTCTCCGCTTGTAGCTCGTTCTTTGCTTCCACACTTTTTAAAAGCTGTCCTGCGTCGGGGTGCTCGCAGGGTTGAAAAGTGGCCTTGTGTTAAAGGTTGGGATGCGGTGACTCGGTCGGCGCGAGCCTCTGGTGCCTCCGAGGCGTCTGCAGCTACAAACAGACTCGCATGCCAAACCAACACCGCTTCCTCCCACGGCCCGGCGGGGAGGACGGGCTGTAGACGGAGTGACTGCGGCTCACACGGGGATCCATTTGAATCATCGTCTCACTTCCTGCTTGCTGACTGGACACGCGAAGGTCGTGTAATTTGAAGCCGTCCTCTCCTGCAGCATCCTGACTCTGTACAGAGGGAGCACTGCGACCTGACATCATCAGGGTGAAGCTTTCAGGTCACACTCGTTACCTTTGACCTTTGTGCTTTCTACTTTTGCTTTCAGTGTGACTCAGTTCAGGCACGATAGGTGCTTCACAGGGTTCAGGGGAAGATGATGAGCCGTCCGGGTGTGGCACGTCCACCGAGCGCAGAGCTTCAGCAGAGGAGGACGTTTCAGACACATCTGTGGATGAAATAAAAGCAGAAGGAGCGCCTGTGGTGCTCTCAGATGTTTGCAGGTTATAACACAGGAGTAATTTAGATTTCACTGGGGGGACGGCGTACACACATCCATGATGAGACTCAGAGGGAGGCGGAGGCTGGAGGCTGTCGGAGGGGGGGAGGCAGACAGCGAGTCTTTGTGGTCCGCTGGACAAAGAGTGTTTCTCAGTTTGGGTTGGCGGAGGAACAGATCGGACTCGGGCGCCGCTTTGACTTCAGCTCTGCTTCTCGTTTGCAGGGAGAAGACGACATGAAGCTGCTGCTGCTGCTGCTCTGCTTCGGGACGCTTCGCGTGGGTGAGTCCGAGTTCCTCCTCGCCGTAAACCAGCCAGAAGGATTCATAGCGGTTAGAAAGAGTGTGAAGCCACGATCGCTGTAAGACACCTGCTGATCCATTCAGAGGCTGACGGTCACCTCCCAGATCACTTCCTGCTGTAAACGATTAAAGTAAAAACTCTGGGGCTGAATTCTGCTTTTCCATGTTTCAAATATTTTTTCTTTAACTAGATTTAATCGTTTTTACCAGAGGAGAAAAAGTCAGTACTGGACCTGAGTATGAATGAAGTGAATCTGCCGGTGTTGATCCTGCTCTCATGTGGAGGATAATTCCAAATGTTCTGCTGAGAATATCAGTGATTCAAGAAAGCTTTGTTGTCATTCTCATGTTTACATGAGGTGAGACGAAGCTACGTACCCACGGTCCCGGTTTCCCATTAAAGCAACAGAAATAATGAAATAATACAAACAAGTGAAGTGCAACAACCTGGGAAACTGTGGAGCAGGTATACAAGTGTAGACTGGATATATGTGATATATATATGAGTACAGCTTCAGCGTTTTCTTTAAATAATAAAGGGGGACACGTAAAGGTGTCAGAAACACTGCTGTGTTCGATCATTATGGACAAAGCTCTGATAGGCCGACAGCGTGAGCTGGGATCACGTCAGCCTGCGACCGTGTCGCTCACAGGACGAGCGCTGCCTCAATAAATGGTTTTATTTATAAGTCAGAAACGCTGTGCGCCCGGCTGCAGGGTCGGTAGTGTTTCAGTGTTGTGTATCTGTGTATGCAGATCACATCTGTACTGCACGTCATCAGGGCGTCGAGGCTGCTTTTGGTTTTAAATTGTTTTATTTGTTCAGTTTTGTGAGTCTGGAATGAGTAAAGATCGATTTTAAGGACATTTCGGCTCTGAGAGCTCAGACTCGTGGATTCAGGTACTAGGTGGCGGTGCTCTGCCCGTCGTGGTGCTACCACACCTCCACATAAGCGGGTCAGTAGATCGCTTCGCCATCGCTGTCAGAGGTGGCACAGACTCCACAACACTATAAACTCTTAACCATAAAAACACACTGACTCGACCTTTCTCTCACACTTGTGTCCAAACACACTTCTAGGCGCCGCCCCCTGCTGGACATTAGAAGTAATGCAGGCTTCACTTGTCAGCCCTAGAAGCTTTGTCCATCTTTATATACAGTCTGTGGGATTTTCTCTTTGGAAGATGTTTTAGGGGATTTCAGTCAAATGATGATTTGTGTATTTATTCAATATATTTCATATATAATTAATGAATTGGTGAATAAATAGGTAGTAAGAACATGAAAACCTGACGTGTTGTTTCCAAAACGATAAATCTCGCTCCTCCTTCTCCTCGTTCTCCTTCAGGTTCTGGGCTTCGCTGCTATAAGTGCCAGGATTACACCGGACGCTGCCAGGACGTCCAGGAGTGCACGTATGAGGACTCGTGCATCTCTCTGAGTGAGAGAGGTCAGTTTAACCCAGAGTTGACCACTTCCTGTTAGCTTCGTGGTTCAGAGACTGGCCAGATTAGCTCAGAGCTATGACTCCTGTGTTATTAGTGCTGAGTCGGCTCATTTTACTTTGATGCTAAATCTTAAAAATGAAGGACGCACTTTTCTTTTTCAGCTCCACTCAGAATTTTCTCTGTCAGCCAATCAGATATCTGTGCGTGTGTTTGGTTTTCCAGGTGGGAAGACCATCCGTCAGTGCATCAGGTACACGGACTGCGATAACTCCCGCCTCAGCCAGATGTTCCCGGCCATCTCCGCCTTCACGTACCGATGCTGCAGCAGCAACCTGTGCAACTCCGGCACCGCTTGCACCGCGGTCACGCCCCTGGTGGCTCTGCTGGGGTCTCTGCTGAGTGTCTGGTGGTGCTGGATGTGAAGCAGCATGTCAGTGTTTCAGCCACAGATTGTATAAAGTCGATGGATGTCTGAACAGCTAAAGTCCTTCAACCTGCTCTTTCTAATGACCAGCAGGGGGCGCCTCCTCTGGTCCGGAGAAAATGAGCGTCCTGCTCAGCCGATCTCAGCTCAGTAAACTCGCTAATGGTCTCTGTCGCAGGTTCAGGTCTAAAACTTTCTAAAATAAAACACGAACTTGGTCCTGTTAGAGTCGCAGAGGAGCAGGAGGAGTTTCTGTGACTGAACCGTCACAAACAGGCCCTCACTAACCAGCAGGTGACGTCACTCCAGCGACATCCATCTTTTATATACAGCCTATGATTTCATCTTTCAAAGCTAACACGAACTAAAGCAAATGTAAAAAAATAAAAACAGCTTTTTCACCTTGTCAGCTGATTTCTCACTTCTTATTCTGCAAATTGAACAATAAATACGAGAGAAAAAAATATTTAAAAAACTGTGTTGCTTCTTTTTTTTAAAGAACAAACAAAAACACATAGATTCATCCGCCAGTTACATAGTCCCTCTGTGGAGGGAGATTATTCTCATGATCCACAAGCATAAACTCTGATTTATAGATAAGCTCCGTGATGTGTTGAATGTGCGCTGCACTGGTGATGACTTCAAACACTCTTAATAACAGCATTCAAACTGCAATAACTTTTGATAACGATGACCAGCTGTTTATTAGTCATCGAGCTTATATAAACAGTATGTCACAAAGGTGAGTACACGCCACACATTTTTGTAGATATTTTGTTTTATCTTTTCATGGGACAACACTGAAGATATACGGAGCCAGTCTATAGGGGTTCAGGCCCATGCAGAACAGCAGTGGGGACAGAGCATCTCCTTGGTAGATCTCACATTTGATGCTGACTTATGCTATGGGCTTGAAGTTGGCCTCTAGTGTTGTCCGCCACATCCCCATTGAGTTCCTGATGAAGGCTCTTGGGTCCTGCTGGTTTGTATAGTTCCAGGCTGTCCAGGATCCAGGTGTGGGGCATTGAGTCATAGGCCTTCTTGTAATCCAGGCAGTGCACAGGTTGGTCAGCCTAGTCTTGCAGTCTTGGGTGAGTGCTCTCTCTACCAGTAGTTGATGATTCGCTCCACTGGTATTCCTGCCAATTCCTTTCTGTGCCCCACTTGTGTATTAAGCCATTATTATCAGGAAGTCCTAAAAACTCCCTGAAAAGCCTTCAGCTGATCCAAAATGCTGCAGCAAGAGTGCTGACAGGGATTAGAAAGAGAGAGCAGATTTCTCCTGTTTTGGCTTCCTGTTAAATCCAGAATTCAAAATCCTGCTCCTCACATACAAGGTCTTAAATAATCAGGCCCCATCTTATCTTAATGACCTTGTAGTACCATATCACCCTATTAGAGCACTTCGCTCTCGCTCTGCAGGCCTACTTGTTGTTCCTAGAGTATTTAAAAGTAGAATGGGAGGCAGAGCCTTCAGTTTTCAGGCCCCTCTTCTGTGGAACCAGCTTCCAGTTTGGATTCAGGAGACAGACACTATCTCTACTTTTAAGATTAGGCTTCAAACTTTCCTTTTTGCTAAAGCATATAGTTAGGGCTGGACCAGGTGACCCTGAATCCTCCCTTAGTTATGCTGCAATAGACGTAGGCTGCCGGGGATTCCCATGATGCATTGAGTTTTTCCTTTCCAGTCACCTTTCTCACTCACTATGTATTAACAGACCTCTCTGCATTGAATCATATCTGTTATTAACCTCTGTCTCTCTTCCACAGCATGTCTTTATCCTGTCTTCCTTCTCTCACCCCAACCAATCGCAGCAGATGGCCCCGCCCCTCCCTGAGCCTGGTTCTGCTGGAGGTTTCTTCCTGTTAAAAGGGAGTTTTTCCTTCCCACTGTCGCCAAATTGCTGCTCATAGGCTCGTATCTATTATTGTAGGATCTACTGTACAATATAAAGCACCTTGAGGCAACTGTTGTTGTGATTTGGCGCTATATAAATAAAATTGAATTGAATTGAATATGCCTGTTCATCTTAGCCGCTATGATGCCTGACAGGAGCTTCCACCTGGTACTGAGGCAGGTTACTGGCCAGTAGTTGGATGGGACTGGTTCCTTCTGGGGGTCCCTGAGGATCTGGACTGTCCGCCGTTCAGTAAGCCATTCTGGGTGGGGAGGTTGCTGTGGTCTGCTCTTAGATCCAGTAGCCACTGAGTATTGCTGTTATGGTTGCGTCCTTCTCCCGTACGCTCTTGCAGTATTGCTCTGTCTCCAGCCTTGGTGGTGCTGTCCTCATATTGGCCCCGCTTGGCACTTTCCAAGGCCTCAGGTATGGGCAGCTTGCTGTCAGTGGCGGTCCTAGCCTGTTTGGCGCCCCGGGTGAACACTCCCTCTGGGCGTGACTCCCTTCAGTAAGCTACATTGGTGTCTGCTGTTTACTATCATAGCCAAGTGACTAACAAACGTAAACAGAAGTTTTCACTATCACTACTAATTAATGTTATCTTGTTGTATCTGTGTTGTGGCCAGTGCGATCCTCTCTGCTGCTGCATGCTGGGGCAGCAGGTTGAGGGTCACAGACGCCAGCAGACTAAATAAACTGATCCACAAGGCCAGTAATGTTGTGGGGATGGAGCTGGACTCTGTTAGGGTGGTGTCTGAGAGGTAGATGTTGTCCAAGATAAAGACAATGTTGGATAACACCTCCCACCTACTCCATGACATGCTGGCTGGTCACAGGAGCACGCTCAGTACGGAACGACACAGGAAATCATTCCTGCCTGTGGCTCCCTGTACAACTCCTCCATCTAACACACTGTGAACACTGCAATGGTCACAGCCTTTTTACACACGCTTTTCTACTCTGTCAAATTTGGCTTTGAACTTTTCTTGTCCATCTTGGTTTTAATTTTGCACTCCAGCATGAACACAAATCCCCCTTGGATTTACATCATTATAAATGAGATGTGCTCTATCTGGAAGCAGCAGGTCCCGCCCCTTTCAACGGGTTGTGTGAGACTTTAAATCATCGAACTGTAAATTATAATTTTAAATTGTTATTGATCCTTTACCCCGAGTCCTAAAGTGTCGATTTATTTTCTTACTCCTCTTATATTTATTGTTTGTTTACTTGCTGTAGCTGGAGCCTCGTCGTCTCGACCACGATGCCGCCCCGGGCAACCGCCCGTATCAAAAACCGCTGCTGCTTGCTGTACTGCGTAGGCACCTCCTACATCGCACCTTTCTCCAAATTCGATAGTCGGCTACTTTTCCTCTGTGCTACCTTGATCTTGGAGTAGTCTCCTTCTCCGTGGAGGGTTCTGCTCCTTGCAGTTTCATCTTACAGCATCTCACTGATTACTTCTGTCGTGGAGTAGATCACATATATACACGTATATATTCATGTGAGGGTCGGAGCACAAACGTGAGTACATACAAATCACTTCGTTTGTAAGTATTAAATGAATAATTTCCCTTCGTACTCTGAACCTTCCATCATGCATCGTGTGTGCTGCTGTCTCACTGGTCTATTGCACCATCTAGTGTTACAGAGTGGTATTACACTAACTGAAAGCCCAGCTCAACACGAGTCTCAGATGATATCTTAAGACAAAGCGGTTATTTCTTCACAGGAAGGACCTGGAATCTGCCCTGAAATCCTTTCAAAATAAAGCTTGACCTGCACTTCAAAGGATGATAAAAAAACATATTTATTAAACATCACAAATATTGAAATACATATCCAAGCCCTACAGAAGAGATCTAAAGCAGCAGGAGATGTGCTACAAACCTCAGCACTCACGGGAGTGTCTTTGTCTACAGTGTACAGTACTTACACACACACAGGGTTTAATGTGACTGTTAAATCATTTAGAACTAAAGGAGGAGACAAGCACGAGGACATGAAAGGAGACAACAAGCTAAGTGTGTCCTAAAATCTCAGCAGGGTTAAGTCTATTAAAATAGTCAGCATGAACACGATGGACACAAAAACCATGTTGTGGTCAGTTTCCTGTGTCTGTTGTATGCGGTAAACGTACATTTCTAATGCGTAATATCACTAACAGGAGCTTCGACAGCATGTGTTCCATCTATAACATTCAGTGTTTTTAAAATAATGTTCATTTCTGTCTTCTACACAAATATTTAATGTTTTCCAGCTCTGAGAAACCTTTGTGCATTGCATTGTGGGAGATCGGCATCCTTTAACACAGCGGTCCCCAACCCCCGGGCCTCGGTACCGGTCCGTGAGTCGTTTGGTACCGGGCCGCGAGAGTAGAGGCTCAGGTGTGAAATGTCTGGTTTTCAGGGTTTTTATCGGTTTCCAGCGTTATTTTGTTATCGTTTTATCGTTTACTCAGTGTTCCTGGGTCTTTTCACGAGTGTTATGAATAAATCTTCTTTTTTTCAGTACTAGTTTTATTTTGTTGTATTTATCCGCGACACCTTAAAGGCCGGTCCGTGAAAATATTGTCGGGCATAAACCGGTCCATGACGCAAATAAGGTTGGGGACCGCTGCTTTAACAGGCACATGACTGCAGTTCACCTGGGTGTGCAGCAGCGGGCGCTGTGTTCAGTCGCTTAGCTCTCCGAGCGCGTCCTCTTCGATCTGCCGTCCGATCACCTCCAACTGGACTGTCTTTTTCTGTCCTTTCTGCTCCACCTCCTTCTCTGCTTTATCTGACTGGGCGTACCAGGGCTGAGGCGTGGAGCTGTCGTAGGCCCGCCCTCCTCTGCGGAACCCCCCTCTGCCGGCTCGAACCAGCCCCCATCCCTGCAGCTGGACGTCGGACCCTCCTTCCTGGACTCCTCTGGTTTGGTTGAGCTCCTTGGCGCTGAGAGACGACATCCGCACGGGAACCGTGTTTCCGAACTTGGAGTAGTCGACACAGTACCTGCTGTCCTCCTCCGTGATGATGGAGACGAAGCGCCTCCCCCACAGAATCTCCTCGGGTATATAGGAGGTCCGCGCCTGCATGGTGATCCCCGTCGTCTCCACCACACCTTAAAGAAGAAATAGAGGGTGCATGGAGATATAAGGTTAAAGGTCAAAAACCTGTTTGTAATGCAGTCCAGAAGTTTTATTCATTCAGTGTCGCTTTACAGCTGCAGGCGCCTGCAGGACTCTTTATAAAGTTCAATTCAAATCATAACAACAGGATATTTCTAACTTTAGAGATGTTGCACAAATGGAAGAAAGCAGTCTTACATATTTGTTTAATATGTGCATTGAAGGACATGTCCTGGTCAAACATGACTCCAAGGTTCCTCACAGTGTTACTGGAGGCCAAGGTAATGCCATCCAGAGTAAGAATCTGCTTAGATACCATATTTCTAAGCTTTTCAGGGCCGAGTACAATAACCTCAGTTTGATCTGAATTAAGAAGCAGAAAGTTAGCGGCCATCCAGGTCTTTATGTCTTTAAGACATTCCTGCAGTTTAACTCATTGGTGTGTGTTATCTGGCTTCATGGACAGAT